CTCATGTGGCCTTTGAAACTGCAGGCTCTGATTTATAATAGGAAATCACAAAGTATAGAAAGTAGTGCTCTCATTCTACCATGAAAAATGCCCATGCCTTATGAGACATGCCGTGAAATATTAAATTTCTTTGTATGGGTAAATTACATATTTCAAGCCAGATTGCGTCTTATTTTCCTCAGCTCTCCTTTTTTCTGTTATTTTTCTATTTGTCTTCTTATTAAAAGCTTGGGTTTGTGCCTGTCCGTCAGAATCTGTTGGTCAAGACTCTTTCTGACGCAGGAGGTGGACTTATGTGCAGAGGATTTCTCCAGAGCCCACCTGAGGGAGGAAGGTGGCGTTTCGGGGCAACGTCCTATAGCAGTGACGGATTTGAGATGAGCCTCAGTGTTTCCCATTGATTCAGCTCTTGATTAATCTAGCGTTTATTGATCACCTACAGTGTCCCTGTGTGTGCCACTTATTGCCCAGTGTCAGATAATCTCTGAAGATAGAAAAAAGAGTCAGGCAGTCCCTGTCCTCCAAGGTCAAAAGCCTGCTAGGTCAATCTGTGCATGTCTATACAAGCCAAGGCAGAAGAAGGTAGTGGACACAGGAGGACAGAGGCGGGACTAGGCAGGAAGCCCAGGGAGGGACTTCAGCTTGCAGCAGGCACAAGAGGCAGTGACGCCTGACATGGACCGTGAAGATTACGTGGGACTTTCCCTGGAGTGGATGGAGAACACATTCTCCAAGGAGGGACCACAGAGCAGAGACAGGAGGTCCCAGCCATGTGCATGCCATCAGTAGCCATATTCTGGCTGGTCACTGTGGGGCAAGGGGACAGACAGAGGACAAAACAAGGTCCCTGTCTGTGCACCTCTATGGTCTGCAGTTTGGTGTTACAGCCTTGTAGCCACGTTGTGCATGTTTTAAACCCACCATGGCCAGACCACGTCGGGGCAGATCAGTTTTTGCATTGAAATGTGTCCTTGCTTTTGAGTGGCTTGGCTGCCTCTTAATAAGCTGTTTCAAATACCGTTGAGCAGATGGTTCTCTGGCCTCGTGAACGAGTCCCCTGCCCAGGGAGCAGTGTTTCTGAGTAACATCGTGGGATGTGTTGAGGGAAGGGGCCTGGCTGTCTTGCAGAAGCTAATTGTCCCATTGTGTCCTGTGCTCTGGAGCTGCAGCTGGTGCTGATGAGTTTGAGATCAGAGGAGGGCATCCCACTTCCAGGTCCAGGTGTTTGACAGCACATTAATCTCTGTTCTGGAAAAGAAGGGAAGGGAAGTGAAGTTGTTCTGATTCTTTTCCTGGTGTGTCCAGCTCAGCCTTCTTTCTTTGTAGAGAGCAGTTGTTAATGGCCAGAGAGGAAAAGGAGCACTTCCTCCAGCTGATGGTTAGTTAGAAGAAGTGCTGGGGTTGAGTGATCAGGAGTAAGGCTAGTATCATCGCCCATCTGCAGATGGGTGCCTAGCTGAGCACAGCGACCTGGCAGCCACCCTGGGAACCACAGGTGGGTGACAACTTAAAGTTAGCCCGGGCCGTTGGCAGCACGCCCATGACTGGCTGGTGGTGCTTCCCAGGTGAGCAATGCCTCCGTCCCCAGCCACCCCACCCTCGCCTCTGTGTGCACCGAGGTCCGGCTCCTAGCTAGGCCTTTGGCACAGAGCCGTCACCTATACGTGCTACCAGGCCAGCAATAATGACACGTGCCTCCTGCTGGCCAGCATTGGTCAGAGCAGATGAGGAAGCCGGGCAGTGCTGGGCTGGGCGGGGGCGTGCATGGGTGAGGGGCTGGAGTGTGGGGCTTGGGGGGAAGCAGAGGCTACTGGTGCCACATGGGCAGTGATCCCGTGGGGCTCAGGGGCTTCTGTGTGTGCAGTGATTAGACAGAGCCGGGGGTTGTGCCCTGGGGCTTCCTAGATAGCCTGCAGACACGCTGGAAAGAGGGTATAAAATGCATGTTCATTCAGATTAGGTGTTGCCACAGATATAACATGATTGTCTCATCCTTATAGAGAGGTTGGAGGGCCCCCCAGCATCCATTTTCCTGAATTCTCTTTCCCTAAAAGCAACACATTGAAACAAAGAGATAGATGTTTTAAGGCTTTTAAAAAAGTTCTTCCAAGTCAAGTTCATCTCAAACTCTGGGATCGATGTCCTCCCCAGTGACTCACAGGCAAGCCCCGCTCCCTTCCCACCCCCTGTTGCAGCAGAGCAGAGCAGAGCAGCTCAAGCCAGGGTCTGGAGAATTTGGGGACAGACAAACTAGATTAATTTATGTATTGGTAAGTGTATGCACCAAATGACCCCTTTCTCCCTAAACATGTAGCACCCGCTGTCTCTCCGGGTTGACCACCTCCAGGCTTGTCATATGGTGAACGCTGTTGCCTCATTTTCTGAGGCCTCCTCGCCTTCTTATTTAAGTATTCAGCATGACTTCTGTAAATATTTGATCTGTCTACATAAATGAACTGTAGGCTGTTCAGGGAGGAAAATCGGCAGCTCCTTGAACGCAGTGTATTAGGAAACTGTATTACTCTTCCCTTGGCAAAGATTGCTCGCTGTTATTTAACAATGAAGCATTTTTGTATTGGAGCTCTCAGATGGAAGATTCTAGAAGACCTCTTGGAGGAGGACCCTAAACTACGAGTGAGATACAGCATGAGTGAGGGGGCCTTGCTGCTTCCCTGGGTTGGCCACATCAGTCCTCTCTGCTCTGCAAAGTAGCTACAACTGGGAGAGTCTCCAAGAGCATGAACCTGGAGACGAGGGAAGAAAGAGACCTGCTCCTGGCTGGAAAAGAGAGACAGGCTCCAGGATGGTGGCTGAGAGCTCTGAGACCTGGTTGGAGACTCCCTTAGATGACCATCCGGGTCACACTTTTCAGAAGACTGAGCAAACAGGGCAGGGAGAAGGGAGTTCAGCCCGACTCACAGGAGCTGGCCCACAGAAACCTCTAGGGAGGCAAGGATGACCGCACCTGACCGGTTCTGGAGACAGGGAGGGGGCTGTCTGTAACCGGGGCCAGACCAAGGCCTAAGGAGGCCGTGGAGCAACACCTCAGTGCTGCTCGTAGACTCTGTGAATGCAGGCCCCGCAGCCAGAGAAAAGAGTGGAGGTCAAGTCCTGAAAGAGGAGGAGAATGCCTCTAAATGGGAAGCAGTGCCCAAGAGGGTGCAGAATGCAGAAAAGTAGAATTTTAGAGTGAAAGGGGCCTCTGAGCTCCGTAACCACCAGATTTTATAGTGAGGAAACTGAGGCCAGTGAAAGGAAGGGAATGTCCCCCCCAGTAAACTAGAGGCAGAGCTAGGATTAGACGCATTCCTCTATTCACACATTTATTCACAAACATCTGTTGAGCACCCTGGGGCCAGGCACCATTCTAGGCTTTGGATCCAGGTTTCCTGACTCATACCCCAGGGCCCTTCCCTTCGCCACGCCTCCCGCCTTGGCTAAATCTGAAAAGCCTGCCTGGCATCGGACTCAGACAAGGTTAAGTCTGCAGATTCCCAAGATAAAAAGCCAAGCTCATTCCCAGATCTGAAGGACGGTAAGTGAAGGAAGGGGTAGCAGAACTTGTTCTACTGATTAAATTACCACATACAAGTACAACTTAGTGTTTGAAAAGTTTATGGCTATATTTTTCTTGACCTTTGCCCAAGATAGTTGCTTGGAATACAGCAATTATTGTAAAAAGTGGAAATGGGATACTGTACTTGTTTTGACTACATCAAGGTGAGAGAGAAGTTAGGGGATGAGGATGGGCCAGGGAGAGGGGAGGGCTCAGGGTATGAGAAGAAGGGTGATGTCAGCAGGGAGAGAGGGATTTGCCAAATGCCAGGCACCTGCACAGGTAGAATTAGGAGCGAGAATAGGACTAAATGTAGATCTCTCGTTCTCACTGGGAGAAGACAATCCCTGTCCCACAAGGTATGGCATGAATTCCTGGGACTTTTGCTCAAGTCATGTCCCATTTCAGAAGGTTCTGCTGTTCCTGGGAAAGAACAGCCACATGAAACCTCGTGGCTTCCTGCCACAGGCTGGGAACCCCCGGCCGTGCCAACGGCAGCAATAGCTGAGGCTCACCGGGTGCTTCACACTCTTGGCCGTGCTTACCTAATAACTTTGTGCGACAGTTAAGGAAGGTGTTATTATTCCTGTTTTGCAGATGAGGCAACTGAGGTTCCAGGCGGATTAATGGGCTTGCCCAGATCTCCGAGTTAATCTCCGAGAGAGCCGGGTCTGAGACAGCCCTGGTCCTCTGCGCCCACGTCTGTCATTTTCCTTGCTGGGCTCTGCTGCTTTACCTGGGGGCGGGGATGGGATCAGGCGTAAATCTGTTTGGGATGGGCGTAAATCAAGACCATCAGGCCTGGCTCCTGGAGCTGAGCAGAGATGAAAGAGCCTAGGTGGGGCCACTCCAACGGGATTTCGTTTCCCAGGCCCAGTGGTTTCATTGGGGTGACTCAGAAGGCATGGAGATTTTCCTGGGTTTCACTGGTTCAAGTTTTCTCCATCACAAAAAAATAGTTATTACTCATGACAGTACAGGTTTTTGTTTTTGTTTCTGTTTTATTTATTTATTTATTTTTAGAGAGAGAGAAAGAAACATCCATCGATTGCCTTTCACATGCCCCCAACTGGGGACCTGGCCCGCAGCCCAGGCATGTGCCCTGTCTGGGAGTCGAACCAGCCAGCCTTCAGTTTGCAGGTGGGCTCTCAGTCCACTGAGCCACACCAACCAGGGGACAGTACAGTTTTCACTTTGGGAAAACCACTGAGAACAAGAAATAAATTGGTATTAAAACTACTAGATATTTGCTCTTGGTACCTTTAATCCCAGTGAGTTCCCGATGAGTCTGGAACCTTTCGTCACCGCCGATCTTCTCGGTGCCCTTGGGGTCACAAAAGAGACATGGCCAGGTGTGGATGGCCTGTGGTCATGGGTTTTCCGGAGGATTCCTTTGGCCAGGGGAGCATGGGCCCCTGGTGACTGTGCCTGTCTTTCCTTCTAGAGCTGCCAACTTCAGGAACTTCACCTTCATCCAACTGAATGGAGAATTTTCCCGGGGAAAGGGACTCGACATTGGCGCCCGCTTCTGGAAGGGAAGCAATGTCCTGCTCTTCTTCTGTGATGTCGACATCTACTTTACCTCTGAATTCCTCAATACCTGTCGGTTGAATACGCAGCCAGGTAAGTCCGCAGCCTCGGCTCCTTCTCTGCCTCAGGGTGGCATTTAGCTCTCTCACGCTCACGTGTCATTGTCTTCACAGTTCACTCTCTGTCCTGCTTCTGAATCAGCCCTGTTTTACCCCAGTGACAAAGGAAAGGAAAATCATCTCATTTGATTTCTCCTTTGGTGTCACAGTGTGGGCCCATCAGCCACCATAATTTTGGAATTTTTTATCCCAGGTCCATATTTATAACCTCTGTTCCACTTCCACCTGGGAGGTCGGCTTTAGTGAACGTGCACAGGAGAAAGTGTGGCGAGGAGGACGTGACCTGCAGAAACGCCCTGAAGCCAAAGCGAAGGGCGTAGCTGTGGGCAGTTACGGAGGGAGGAAGTGCTCTGAGCAGAGGTCACCCACAAGGAGAAAGTTATCTTCATAGAGTTTGACTCTAGGCAAGACTGATGTTCAGCTGCTAACTACTAGAATGGGCCTGTCAGCTGTTAAAATCTTGAAACTCTTCACATAAACCGGTAAAGAGTAACTACCCTGGGCTCCCGAATTCTACTCCTGCTACCGAAGTCCCCTCAGCCTCTGGCAGCCCCTCAGACTGCCCCCCAAGCCAGCAGAGAATGGGTTAATGGCTGGCAGGCAGAGGGCATCCGGACTGTCTTTCATGCCCACTCTCATTGGTTGATGCCCAGGGCCAGAGACGCCACCTGTCAATATTTCGAATATCACTCCTAGGCTGAGAGGCCAGAAGTATTTGAGAGTCTGTTCATCTGGTCTATGTGGTGCAAAACTTTCAAGATCTGTTTTAGACTTGAGTGGAGGGGAAAGGAAGAGTGAATGCAAATATCTCGGGTGTTTCGGAGGGCTGAATATACATGAACGAAGCTCCTAGTTTTGTCTGTTGCTTTCAATGAATGTCTGTTTTCTCGTTTGCAGGGAAGAAAGTATTTTATCCAGTCCTTTTCAGTCAGTACAATCCTGGCATAATATACGGCCATCACGATGCCGTCCCTCCCTTAGAGCAGCAGCTGGTGAGTAATTACGCCGCAGGTGCCTTTGTGTGACTCTGTGTCATGTCTTCCATTACCAGGGGCACCTGACCATGGCAAAGGTACGTGGAATCTGTGGGTTGATTCCTGTATTAATTTTTAAGTTTGGTGGATGTTCTGGCCTTTGCTCCCAGTGCCTTGTTGATTGAAAGTGCTCACAATATTTAAAAGTGGAAAATAAATAGGAACAGTACCTTACAGAAAGGTAATTTCACACCTTCCTAGTTTTCTTCTATGGTTTTTGGAAAGTAGTGTTATTGCATTATGGATGCAGCACATTTTCTCTTTAGTATTACCAAGCCCTGCAAGGTAAGAAAGGTGAGATTCGTGTTCCCATTTGACAGATGGAAGCCAGAAGTCGGAAAGGGGTGGCTCCCCCCAGCCGACCGTGAGTGAGTCGGCGGGCGAGCAGGGACTAGATCCAGTGCCCTGCCAGCATGCTCTCATTCCCACGATCGCAGAGCCTTGGGGTGGACGTTAGCGCCAGCAGGGTCACTAGCAAGGTGGCTTCTGTGCTAAGATCTTAGCTGCACTGGTGATGGGTAATGGAGCGGGACCACATAGCCGTGGAGGATCTCTGTAAGCTGAGTCATCTCCGCTGGTAGTGGCATGAGTCAGTCCATTTAGCAGCAGAGCAGGACAGACAACGGGGAGATGAGATGAGCCGGAAGAGGGTGGCTGTACCACATATGGGCCTGCCCCTCCAAGAGCCAATTTCCCATTCTTGTCAACACTCCCCAAGCTGGGCTTCGATCGTTTCCTGCAGGGAGCTCAGCGGGGCTTGTCTGAAGCTGTGTTCCAGCTCAGGCTGCATCTGGGGAGCGTCTGCCTGGGGCTGTCTGTTCTTCCTCGCCGTGCTTTGTCTCCTGTTGAGGCAAAGCCATGTTTCGTCCCATCAAGCACCTCCTGGGCTGTGGAAGGGAGACGTGCTGTGTGAAAATGAAAATATGCTAGGATGAAGTCTCTCATGCTTGTGTGCAGTGGGAGAGTAAACTGCTTTTCATTGAAAATACGTTTTATGAAATTCTTTTGTGGGATGGATTCTGTGTTTAAGCTTCCAGAAGTAGTGAAACCTGTTTTCTCCAGCCGTTTCCTGTGCCCCCCTCCAATTAACGTCTGGCAGCTGATGTCATAATCTCTTATAGGAAGTTTCAGCTCAGGTTCTTTCTGGTTGGACAAGGGTCATGTCCCAGCATGGTTTCACTTGGGACCCTAGCCATACAGTACAGTAATAAAGTAGTTTTCCCATCCCCTAGTGAAATTCTAATGCTACAGATATGCTGAATGTCTGTTTACACACTATATGTACATATACTTTACACATGAAAACAGCAAGAGGTTTTCACTCCCCCAAACCAGTTTTTATCCATCTTTGTTGAGACAGAAAAAACTTCTTATTTCCGTTCTGTGAAAGCTCTAAGTTTCTAATAGGGTCTGAGGGGGAAATAGGATACAGGACTTACTTTCTTTCAACCAATCAGAATAAAAGTTCCTTTGATTTTAGATAAAGTGCTGTGTTACATTTGACATCAAATGTGATTAAGGTTTTAACTTTAAACTCCTAAAGACCTTATTTGATTGCAAGGAATTTTTTTTCATTTCGGAGGTGAAGAGCTTTGTTTTGCTATTGCCATGCCTGCAGGGGGGCAGGCACAGAGGGGAGCCAGAGGCGTGGCGTGGCGAAGCCAGGCTCTCCGGCCCACAGCGTCCGTGGGCAAGCCAGAAACAGAACTCAGGCTGCCGTGTCCGCAGCTGGAACCTCTGAGTCATCCTGCAACCGTTTACATTTACTTCTAAATATACCTTTGACCTTTCCCAGGCCACATGAGTCTGATCTTTTGGGGTTCAATATTTATGACTATTTAGTCCCAAGAAATACAGCAGTTATCTGGGAGATGCAGGGGTCTCCATCCAGAAGAGAAAAGTATTGATTATGTTCTTTACTGGATGAGCCATTTCTTGAGCACTTGCTGCCTGCAGAAAACTGGTCCATGTGCTAGTCAAGGAGTCAGAAACTGGGAAGAGTTTTGTGTGCTCAGAAGTGGTTGTTGGATCATTTCGACTACCCTCTTCTTTTTTATAGACTTGCCCAAGATCACAAAGCCAGTGAGTAGTAGGCCAAAACTAGGGTTTCCTTACTCTAGTGCAGGGGAAATCGAGTTGCTTAGGATTTAGATGAAGGTGTAAATATAAAGGAAATGGCCTGACGAAATTCTAAGGGAGGACATCAAAATATAGAAATTGATATACTGGAGCTAGAATGTGTAGGAGCTAAAAAGGTATAAAATAAAAGTAATAATTAGAGAGGGAGAACTCAGGGGAGACTTCCTACTAAGCGTTCGTTTTGGCTCAGTCTAGGAAGATACAATGCAAATACTATATTAATACGTTCCTGATATCACATCCTGGAGTACATCAGGTGTCAAAGGTGAAGGGAGAACATAGATCCAAAATGTCACTGTAACAAAAATTACTTATTTATGCAATAAAAGACAATTTTTTCCAGCAGCCCTGCAGATATGACCTCATAGTCAGTGTGCTAGTCATTACTTCTCCTGGCTATTGCCACTGTCATTTGGTAATATTTTGTCTGCATACAGAAGCAAGAAGCCAAACTTAGGATTTTTCTGTGTGTTCAGACTACTTGTTTCTTTACTTTTGAGTACAGACCATTAGTAATAGTAAGTGAAATCAGGGGATTTTATACTAATATTTAACTGGAAACTCAGGAAGAGTTTTACACCTAACATGAATCTTGCTGATGCTTTAATGTAGACACAGCTCTCTGAGAAAGGAAAGGCTGTAATTTCAATAATTATTAACATTCACTTTTCTGGTTCAAGCCTTGTCAGTCCTTGCTGGGTCCATGGCGGGAGCCTCTTCCCACCTCTGCACTCAGTCTTTCCTTCACCCTCTACCAGAGATGTTTCCAAAATGCAGGTAATTCCTTTAAAAGATCTGTTATGGCAGAAAGCTGGTGGTGTGCTAGTAAATGTGTAACAACCCACTCCCTGAAACGGGGACAGGGGAGCCCTGCTTCACAGTGTTTGCCATTTCCTGTGGTGTCAACACTCCCACCGTGGCCTATTTCAGGCTACTGATACGTTGTCACTCAGTGCAGAGCTGGCAAGGAATTTGCAGCACCCTGGCTGGCTCCAGCCGGGCTCTGCAACCCTGATTCCTTCTTGGGATTGACTGTCCCCCAGAAACTGACTCTAGGGCTCGTTACTGAGAAAATGTTTGCAAACCCCAGCACCTGGCACAGGGCCCCAGCTTGGTAGGCTCCGCCGGGTGCGCACCCGGCCCAGTGCGCCCTCAACTCCTTCCACCTCAGGGCCATCGCCTCGCCTCTTCTGCTGCCCCTGGTGCCCAGCCTCTCAGGCTGCCATGCATCCATCCATCATTTATTTCAGTCTGATGACTTCATGCCACTCTGCTCAGGGCGTGAATCCTGAATCCTAAGTTCATCCTGATGAACTTAGTTTGGGTATGTTTAATTTGAGGGTCATGTGGAACATCAAAGGGGTAGTGTACTTCAGAGATATGATTTATAGATATGGGATATGACATTGGCACTTCCATAGAACCTATTCAGATTTCAACAATTACATATACACTTATTTGTGTATGCTGGCTTTTGTCCTCACGCTCTTGCTCTTTCTGATTAAACCCTTACCTCTCTACTCGCCTCCAAACAGTATTTTCCACTAAACTGCATTTCAGTTTAAACTTATAAAAACTGCTGCCCAGCCAGGCATAGTCTGTTTTTGTTTATTTGGGAAGCAGATGCTGAGCACCAAAGGTAGAATTAACAGCTGCGACCTGTGCGGTCCTGCATAAGCCGGGACTGTGCCTGCGTTATCTCACTTGGTAGGTGCTCCGTGAGGCGAGGGAGCTTACTGTGCTCGTTTCCCAGATGAGAAACTTGAAGGTCGAGGCAGAGTCACTTGCCCAGACTGCTAAGTGGCAGGATCGGGAATGCAAGTGCCACCCGTGTGAAAGAGACAGGCTGAGGCTGCGGAGTGGACATGTTCTTTGGCCGCAGAGTGCTTCCGGGAGAGGATAGAGGCCAGCCTTTGGGTACATCCCTTGAACAGAGGGAACCCGGGCCATTCCTTGTCCGGCACGATACCCTTCAGAAGACACTCCTTTTTTTTTTTTTATGAAGATGACTTATCGAAAAGGGGGTTAGTACAAGTCTTGGAGAAGGTGGCATATGAGTCCATTCTTAAACCAATTGTTTGAAAGCTGTGACTCGGCAATACTTTCTCAAGAAACAGAAACTGTTACAGCATTGTGCCTCCTCACAGGGCACACGCATATCATCAGGCGCTGCCCCCGGAATCTGGTTACGTAATCTGGAGCCCAGATGACGAGGGAGGGGTAGTGTGGTGTCAAGGGACAGCCAGCCCAGCCACAGAAAATCCTGAAGCTCAAGGTGTATGCTGCTCACGGGCGGGGCTGGCTGCCTACCTGGCAGGGCCCAGTACGCAATGAAAGTGCAGGGCCCTTGTTCCGAACTTCCTAGGAGTTTCGGGATGGCAACAGCAGAGCATTCAGTGGGGCCTGGAGCCTTCTCAGCGCGGGGCCTGTGCACTGCATGGGGTGCGCACATACCCTGGTTTTTCTGGCTGACGTAAGGCTGCTCAGACACAACTTCGGTTCTTGGGAGACTCTTTTTGATTTAGAGGAACTGCTCTGCCTGAGTGTATGTTATTTATTTTATTTTAGGGCCCAGATTGCTTCACGGGCAGTTGTCCAAGTCAGCACCCTGAAGCCCGACAGGCGCGCCGACCTGCCCCGTCCCCGCGGCAGCTGCAGGGTGGTCGCCTGCCCATGTCGTTGGGTCCTAATAGTAAATGAGCACCCCTGTCACAGGGATCCCCCACAGAGCTGGGGGTCTGGGAGGGCAGGCCTGACAGCCGTCCTTTTTGGCGGAGCCACGCGCTGCGGCGCTCTGCTGAGGTCCCGGTGGGGCGAGAAGTGGTGCCGCAGTGAGCTCAGAGGGGGCCAGTCCTGGGAAGGCCCTTTTTAAAAACGAGGATAGTACTTGAAAACAGCTCGGGAAATTCAGGACAGCGGGAGGAGATGTTTCTCTTTTATTTTATTTTTTTTTAACTTTTATTTATTTATTTTTAGAGAGAGGGGAAGGGGGGGAGAAAGAAAGGGAGAGAAACATCGATGTGAGCAACATCAATCAGGTGCCTCTCGTACGCACCCTAGTCAGGGATGGAACCCACAACCCAGGCATGTGCCCTGACCAGGAACTGAACCGGCGACCTTTTGCTTTGCGGGATGATGCCCAACCCACTGAGCCACGCTGGTCAGGGCGAGATATTTCTCTTTTATAGTCTGTGTCTTAGGGTTTCTGTCTCCTCTAGGCATCATTGGTGTATATCTTTTCAATCTTATCTGGAAGAGTAGAGCTCCTTATGCTTGGGGCAAAGGTTCCCCGAAGTCGAGCCCTCTGCTTAAACCCCAGGAAGGTGAAAATGTTTTTGTCTGTGTTTCCAGAGCCATGCCGTTCTGAGGGTTTTCCCACTGGAATTCCTAGGCCTTTTGCGGAACCGCTCACTCCCTCCAGATTCCTGGCTTGAACCGTGTCTGTCTCCACTGGCTTGATGTTGTCTCTGCCCTAGGACTGCTCCTCAGTCATTCATTGGAGAAGGATAGCACGTGTTAAATGATGTTTTGTTCAGTGTTCTTTCATTATAACGTTGATGAAATGCCATAGGGACTCAACTCCTGTTTATATGAAGTAGCCTATGGTAAAACTGGTTTTGCTATGTGTCGTTTTGCTTGAAGTTGCAGAGCCCATCCAGGATGTTACCCGATGACTTACTGTATTTACTGAGTGCCTCCCGGGTGTGAGACGGGGGCCTGGGGCTGCAGGCCCACATCCGGGGCCCTGAGCTTGCGTTCCCCTGGGGTGGTGGGTGAAGACGGCTGACAGAGAAGCACGCGCAAAAGGGTAATGTCAGAGAGGCTGGAGTACAGAGAAAATAAACCAGGGGATGGTGTGGGGTGCGACAGGAGTGGGAAGGTTGACAGTGGCTGCGAGGGCCAGGGTGACAACCCTGAGCCATGGTGCTGCAGCAGAGGCCAGGGGTGAGCGGAGGGTTGGTGGGGGGGTGGTGACCCAGGGACAGGGGCCTGCACGTGTCCGGCGGTGGAGACCTATAAGCCGGATGTGTTCGTGGGGCAAAACGTAAGGGGTCCGTATATGCGGGGCCCGTGAGATAGGCCAGGCAGGCAGAAGCCCAGTCACGTGGGGCCTGTGCATGCTAGAGCTTCCCTCGTGGATTTTATTCTAATTGCATTAGAGAGAATGCAGTTAAAACCACTGCAGGACTTTAAATGGGAACATGCTGTGATCTGACGTACACTTGAAAGCAGTGCCCCCAGCCGGGCCGCTCGCGGGGGGCACCACTCCGTTTAGAGGCTCGGCACAGCTGGGGGTGGTGGAGCCTCCAATAAGCGAACGCTAATACGTGCGCTCCATCTTGCCCTGACATTCTGTGCTGTGGCCACTTTCACATCGGTCCCACCCAGGGCTCAGCTTCAACAAGCTCTTCAGACAGTGGCTTTTCGTGGCTTGCCGACTTTAAAGCCAATGTTAATAAGTAGTCATAGAGCTAGCTCATTTCCCAGCTCACAAATCCGTTTGTTTCTGTCACGCTGTCCCCAGCGGAGAGTCACCCTTCCCTTTGTTCAGCCAGCGCGGCACTGTGTCCACTCATCCCAGCCTGGGGGATGGCTGCACCTTGCAGTCCCCCTTGTCTTTCTTCGCAAGTTCTGGCCCATTGTTTCTCCTGTTTGGAGCTTTCTCTTTTAGTTCTATCGAGACTGCAGCCAAATATTTGAAGTTTGGATACTGGTGCTTCTCTGTGCCTCCATTTTATCCAGAAGCTTAGAGGACTTGTCCACGTCTAGGCCGGCAGAAAGGCTACGGAGCCATTGGCTGCAGCAGAAATAGCGTAGCTGGTATGACAGGGACGAAACAGAAACCATTTTAAAATAACAACTCAGTGGAGATTTTCCCAGACTTTCTTGCCCTGAAAAGCCTTTCCAGTTGATAGCAATGAAATTGTCTTGACACTTGGGAGATAGCGTGCAGCAGCCCTTTGTTCTGAGGAAGAATTGGAGAGCACGTGCTGGGACCACCCTACCGGGCAGGCCCCTTTGGGCCTTGATTTCCTTAGGCAGCCCTGGTGCGTGCTGGCGGCGGTGCCGGCCATGTCCCTGTGGAGGCTGCAGTGAAAATAAGATTGTTTTCAAGTTCATCAACCCTCCTGCAAGCCATTTGTCGCATACAGTTTAGCCTGTGGTGCAGGTAAAGGGAAATCTCAGGGAGGTGAAAGAGCAATAATAGGATAAATGGTTGGCTCTTAGAACTGGAAGAGGCCTTCGGGGTGATGTAGCTCAACCTCCTCATTCATAGGAAAGAAACTAGCGGCTCCAAAAAGTGCGGGGCCTGCCTAAGGCAAAAAAGCCAGCCAGTGGTCAAGCTGGGACAAGACACACACTGTTTCTCATTAGCTGTGGAGAGGAGCACGCCAGATGTCCCGGACGGGAAACGGGAAACGCAGGAATCCAAGTGGCCCGGGACCTGCTGCAGCGCCCCCTCCCCTCTCCCCCAGGGAACTTCCTTTCATGGAGTCACCTGTGTTAATTACGAGAATGAATCACAAAAAATAACTATTAAAATAGGTCCCAAAACCATTCCCAGAATTACCTCAGCCAAAAATATAGAAAGCAGTTAAAAAAAAAAAAAAAAAAAGTCTTACAGCTCCAGTAAGTACATTGGAAATTTACTCACAGAGTAAGACTGGGCAGGGCCAGGTCTCACTCTTTAGAGACAGTTGCCACTTGGATGGCCTCTCAGCAGCCCTGCAGCCTAGCAACGCTTGCACGTGGGTTTTGGAGCAGCTTGGTTTTCAAATAGTTTAAAGGTGAACGGACAGAGTCTTTCTTCATAACCCGGAGTCTTCGTGCCCCTTTCCTCCACCAGGAGAGCGGGGCCGGAGCCACACGCTGACGTCTCGGGTTTTCCTTTCATTCCCCGAGGGAGCCCTGTGTGTGCACTGTGCCAGGCCAGCTCAATTCCGAGTTGTTCTCTCTCCCTTTTCTCAACTTCCTGAGCCCTTTGTTGGCGCGCTGCCCAGCTCTGTGTGAGGGGCTGCGGCCTCCAATTCTCACTGGCACTGGTGTTGGGCCAGACACGTAGGTGGCTTTTCCATGGCGCCGCTCAAAAACTTGCTCTCAGGTTTGTTTTTGAGTGTGAGTGTGAGCGTGTGTGTGTGTGTGTGTGTGTGTGTGTGTTCATGCCTGTGCCCTAGACACATTCCAGCCCGAGGTGCCAGAAATCATAAGGCACTGTTTGGGAACTGGTGAGCTGACTGTTCCCAACCGTCCGAAAGGAATCAAGTCTATCTGCATTTCCCGCACAGAGTTGTGGCTGTTTGTCAGGGCTGGGATGGGCTCCCAGTTTAACATTACTTATATGCGTTTGTGAGTGATCTCTCTTTCTTGTTATCCGCTGTGTCCTTCCCCCTTAAATGACAGTGTTTTCCCTGCAGGTCATAAAGAAGGAAACTGGATTTTGGAGAGACTTTGGATTTGGGATGACATGCCAGTATCGGTCAGACTTCATCAATATAGGTAAGACAAACAGACTTGCAACAAGCCTGCATCTCTACTGCCACCTAGAGGCCAGCAAAGGGCTGAGAGGGTATCTGGTCGGCCTTGTAGGAGTCTGGTGGCACAGGTGGTGCCACTTCTAAGGAAATGCCATTCAAGTTCATTCCTCTTGTCAGGGACTTGGGGCTGGACCAGGAGGGAGCCTGGGAGTGTGTGGCACTTTCGTCCCTCTAACCTCCACGAGCACCTGTCAGTCATCCCAGAAGGGGCTCACATCTCAGGAGTAAAGGCAGCTTCAAAACAGTCCCCCAGTGGCGCCTTCCAGCCCAGTCTGGCCTCCGCGCCTCGCCATGTAGAACGGTCCCCCTGGGCCTCCGCTGTAGGGGATCCATTAAAAAAAATAGGGTGACATGGGGGATTTTGGAAAATCATACACCAAAGATCCTAATTTCTCTCTGCTGCACCTTTGAAAATGCCAGGTGTCGTTCAGTCTCCGAGTGTACCATCACTGACTCTCTCTCACATGTGCACGCATGCGTGTGCATGCGCGCACACACACACGAACACACAGAGGTCCGCAGAGCACAGACAGGAGAGGCCCTTACGCTCAGCTGAGGAGACCAAGGCTCCCAGAGGGAAAGGGTCCTCACAGCAAGTGAGTGACATGGTTGGGATGAGAACAGTGCCTGCTGCCCCCCGGGAAATGCCACACTCTCCTGTGGCAGTTCCAACTCACGTGCCCCTGCAGGGAGTGGAACTGTGGACTGCACATGACCGGGGAACGAACGCACAGCTCGGAAACCGTGCCCTGGGCTCGGGCTCGGGGGGCCCTGACCCCACCGAGTCCCCACGGGCCTCCGAGAGCCTGCTCATGCCCCCGCCCCGGCCGCTCCCCTCCTGCCCAAGGCCGGAAGCTTCTCTTCCTGAGAGCAGTGAGTATATCTGAGCAGCCAGGGGGTTTGTTCAGAGGTGAGGGGGTCTCCAGGGACCACTGAATGCTCACAGAAATCACCAGTTAAAAAGAAAACAAAAACAAAAACCCTGAATAGTGTGAAGTCAGGTCCTGTAAGAAGCACCGCACCCGGCACATCGGCCCTGAGTGGTGGGTGCCCTCAGAAAGTGGCAGTGGACCACTGGTGACCTTTGATTTCTCTAAGAACTGATCCTTCACGATTTTGTGCAAATCAATTTCAAAAAAAAAAAAAGGCATTTTAAAAAAATTTCTAAAGGAGATTTCCGTTTCAAGGAATTGTTTCCTTGCTCTCTGTACCGGGAAACAATATTTTGGAGTGATGTATGTTTCATCAAATTTCAGTTTATTTTTCCCCCCTAGAGAGAGGGCATAGCTATAATGAAAACCAGGGGACTGGCGGGCTGGGAAGGGCGCGCTTTCTCAGTAAGCTGTTGCTGTGACCTCGGAATGACTCTTCGGGTTACATCTGTCATCCGGTCATTCTTGGCCATCTTGTATTAATTTGTTAGTGTCATATACTTGCACACCATCTATTTAATAAGTTGGATGATACCGGTAGGAATAATAAATCAGTTACAGCTAGCCAAACACGGCTCCTTACATGCCTATCTCTTTTGGTTATGACATCTACTTCCTTTCACGATAAAGAAACCAAAGTTCAAAACAGGCAAAGTGGAAGCTTGGATGAGAACCAAGACTCAGCTTCCAGACCCTTGACCCAGAATGGTCCCCGCCCGCGCCCACGTGAGGGGCCGCAGATCACCGGTCCGCCTGGCCCAGGGCGGGCGGGCGTGGCTTCCCCTGCGCCTGGTGCCTTTGCTCCAGGGACAGCCTTGCTCGGAGCAGCACGGCTTGGAGGCTGAGGGGGACAAAGGGGCTGTGTGCCATCTGAGAAAAGGTGTTGAGAATCACTTCACTGTCTCTTGTAAGAGTGAGGTAAATCTCCCAGGTGAGAAAGGAATAATGACAGAAAGAGGCCAGTTTTCCTTTGGTTCTACTTGAGACATGGTGGCCTGTGGGTTAAGAAACAACGTGAGGCATCTCGGTTTACAAAGGTGACAGTTTAGGGGACCATAACTCACACTGTGAGGGAGTCCGTTCCCAGGTGAAACGAGATTTTCTGAGTTGAACTTCAGAACTGACTGAGGCCGGTCCCTTTAACATGAGTCATTTCTCCAGCTTGTAGTAGACACGTGGCTTTTGGGGACCACCTTAGTCCCCAAAAGGAAGAGTGCTTTTGTGGGATGTGATTTTTTTTCACACTGAGATCCTGCTTTACTGTTTCATGCTGCACTACCTCTAGCTTATCCCGTTTGAAATGGCAGGAGGAGGCCACATTCAAAGAGAAACACATGAATTGTCATTTGGAGGTTTCGGGTTGAAGTTAGGATGCTGCTGCAGCTCTTAATCAGAGGCTGATCATTAGTTAGCATTGCTGATTCTTCTCAAAAGCAGGCACATGCTGGGGGTTCTGTTGCAGCGTGTCCCCTCCAGGACTTGGTCCTGGCTGCCATCAAGCTCCCCTCTGTTGGAGAATTCTCAGTTCTCTGACCCGGATAGACATTCGTAATTTGGAAGGTGGTGAAACACATCCCCCCTAAATGCTGCTTCTCTTCCTGCAAAGTTCTGTGCTTGTGCAGCTCAGGAAAGCGACTGTAGATCAGGAGATGCAGGGCCCAGCATGACTCAGCAGTGTGCTCTCTCCTGACAGGTGGGTTTGATTTGGACATCAAAGGCTGGGGCGGAGAGGACGTACACCTGTATCGCAAGTATCTCCACAGCAACCTCATAGTGGTGCGGACGCCTGTGCGGGGACTCTTCCACCTCTGGCACGAGAAGCGCTGTGTGGACGAGCTGACCCCCGAGCAGTACAAGATGTGCATGCAGTCCAAGGCCATGAACGAGGCCTCCCACGGGCAGCTGGGCATGCTGGTCTTCAGGCATGAGATAGAGGCTCACCTTCGCAAACAGAAACAGAAGACAAGCAGCAAGAAAACATGAACTCCCAGGGATACATTTGGGGAGATGTTTCATTTTTCCTTTTGCAATTAACTGGACAAGTGGATGCAACAAGGAAAAAAATTTTCATAAAGGGCAAAAAAGAATTTGACTGATGAGGAACAGACGAGAGAGCCTCCAATTTCTGTCTCTGAGCTTTTATGCAGCAGGCATTAACATCTCCCGCTTTGCCTGCAAAAGTAGCCAAACGCATCCCTTGCAGTGTCTGACAAAGGGGAGTGATTGTGAGATTGTAAGCTTGATGATGTGGAGGTTTTGATTGTGTTTGCAGCAAAGTGAGATCTGTGTTTTCTATGCTCATTGAAATATTCATGAATTAAGGCCAATTTTGAAAAAGTCCATTAGAATGAAAAGCAAACAAATTCCTCCCCATCTGAATGGTTGTATCAGTGGAGCTGTAATGGCTAGGAATGCTAAAAATCAGAAGGCAGCCACAAAGACCGCATGAAACACAAAGATACCCTTATTACCATCATGTGAGTATATTAAGCAAAACAAAATGGGCTAAGAAAGAAAAGAAACCGTAACTGTTGTGTCATTTCCCCCCAAGATTAACCAAAAATAACCTGCTCATCTTTTTGTTGTAGTTTTAACTATGTCCATTTGTTAATTGTATTTAAAAATGCACTTTTCTTTTGCTCATGAGTTATATTTTGCTTATTTAATGACCAATTTGCGAGCCTTACTCAGAGAGCACAAGTTAGCATATACTTCTGTATTCTTTAAGAAGATACTTCTAGCTGCTCTGGATAGCAAGTTCTCATAATGCATCAGATTGATACCCATATTGGAGGCCACGCCAAAAGCTGACCCTCTCAGGCTCTGATGTCAGACCTTTGTCGTGCGGGAGGCATGGTGTAGGGCTACTGGTGGATCAAAGACATAGACATACTTTATCTGAAGAGCATTTCTGAAGAGGAGCAACTGAACACTGGAGGGAAAGAAAAATATACTTTTTTTTTTACCTTGACAGAAAAAGACACTCATTCAAACTGGTGGTACCTTGACTTATCCAAACGTCAAAACACATTTTGTCCTCAGGAGAACTGGGGATCACTTTCTTACTTGTTTAAATAAACCAAAGTGTACTGTGTGAACCAAACAATCTCTTTTCCAAGCAGGGTGCTCTTCCTGGCTTCTGGCTTCCATAAGAAGAAGTGCAGGAAAATGTATTTTGTGAAAGATCACTCCACCTGCCGGAGTCTCGTGGGATGGAAGACTTTGCTATGTGTTCACCCACCCCAGTCTAGGGGGAAGTAACTCTATTATTTTTTAAATGAAGCAGTTCTACTCAATCACCAAGATGCTTCTGAAAATTGCATTTTATCAGTTTCCAACTATTTAAAAAAAATAAATGCAGTTAACATTGAGTGGTTTCTCCATTCATGTGAAATTTATTTATTAGCCAGCACCAGATGCATGAGCTAATTATCTCTGATTCCTTATCTTCTGTTTGCCCACAGTCCGGTCCTTTTTTAAAAGCTTCAAAAACATTCAAGCTGTTGGTGTATTAAAAAAAAAAAAAAGCATTGTATTGATGTGTACTGGTAGTTCATCACATTTAATTAAAATACAGGATATGAATGGAAGGTGGCATTGGACAGCTAATAAAATATGATTTGTAGATATGACTTCCTCTTGGAGTAAGAATGCCATGTCTTTAGTTTTTGGAAAAGGTTCTTCATGCGTAGACCAGGGTTTCTCAACCTTGGCACTGCGGACATTTGGGGCTAAACCATTCTTCGTTGTCGAGCTGCCTGTGCGCTGCGGGGCATTTGGCAGCATCCCTGGCCTTTAGCCACTAGATGCCAGGGACGTTTCTCACCCGGGCTGACAACTAGTACGTCTCCACTCATTGCCAAATGCCCCCGGAGTGCAAAACCACCCCTGGTTGAGAACCACCTGATCGAGGGCAGCGATTTTTAATTGGTGCGCTGCAGGAATTTTTAAAACATGCAATACCTGACTATTTACTCAGGGGCACTGGCCTCTTTTACTTTAGATCAGGGGTCCCCAAACCCCAGGCCGTGAACCAGGCCGCACAGCAGGAGGTGAGCTTGAATGTAATGCGCTTGAATCATCCCAAAACCATCCCCCGCACCCTTGTCTGTGGAAAAATTGTCTTCCACGAAACAGGCCCCTGGTGCCAAAAAGGCTGGGGACCCCTGCCTTAGATTGTCAAATAAAAATAATAACAGCATCCAACACAACAGCAGCCATCCAGTGTGAACGAATCAAAATTATACCTTTTCTTTTGTCAGATGGGCAAAAAATGTATTTTTTTGGTGTGCTGCAGACTTTTAATAATTAGGTTATATGTGCCATGAGATGAAGAAGGTTGAAAATCGCTGGTCTAGCAGGAGGAGAGAACCACAAAATGATGAACCTGGCTGTTAACACAATTTATTTGTTCTTTTTATTAGAAGAAATTGAGAAATGATTTCCAAGGCCCCTTCTGACTCGAATAGTGTTTGATATTTTTACATGCAATGGCGACACTAGAGACTGGGGGCACACGTCTGGCCTGTCTCCCCGGTGGTGCTGACGGCGTGGTGGGATTGACCCGCTCACCCCCGCTCGTATTCTCCCGGTGTCAGGCGAGTGCACTTCCAACAAGGCTGGTGGCAGGGAGCAAGTGTTTGGCCACAGAGCTGGCGGGTCTAAGCGTCCCGCGGGCTGAGTGGCCATTGGTGCTTGTTTAAACTACACAGCGCAGATGCCTGAGACGATGCAATTGGGTTTTAAAGTTGCTGAAGGTAGCAGAAAAGAGGAAACAGCATTATATTAAACCATTTTTCTCTTTTTAAAGCTTAGTCCGGTAAAACCGTTTTTATCAAAAAGTAGGAGCCCTTTTAAAGCACATGGAAGAGGGAATCTGTCTGAGTTTGGGCTGCTTTACCAAAATTAGCAAAGACTGGCTTACACAACAGATGCTGATTTGCCGAGGTTTGGAAGCTGGAAATCCAAGATCAAGGCACCGGCAGATGCGGCGTCTGGTGAGGGCCCTTCTCCCTATATCCTCACAAGGCTGAGAGCTTTCCTCCTGTTCTAAAAAGGATGCGAATCCCATTGGGAGGGGGCTCTACCCTCATGACCTCATTATCCCCAAAGGCCCCACCTCCTAATACTATTACATTGGAGATTTAACATAAATTTTGTGGGGGGCACATGCAGTCGGCGGCAGGAGCGCTCCCTAATCTGTCCCTAAAAAGAACTGGCAAAGGCCCTACTGAAACATTATAATTCGGGGCTGGGAATTTAACCCCAGGCAGCGAAGGAAGGCAGTAATGAACCCGTGGCTCGAAGGACCCAGTGACAGCTTCGGAAGGAAGGATGCTGCCAAGGAAGCCCTGTGCCTTGGGTCTGTGTGAGGCCCCCTTCCTCCCTCTGCTTCCTCCCTCTGTTCTCACTGGGTTGGCCAAAAAGTCAGTTTAGTTTTCTCCGTAAACTAAAAGACACATTTCATTTTCACCAATAACTTTATTGATTTGGGTATTTTGAGTATGTTGGCTCTCTCTCACTATTGGCTTCTAGTGGGTAGAGGCCAGGGGTGCTGCTAAACACCTTCCAATGCATAAGACAGCCCCGCAGCTAAGAATTATGTGGCCAAAATGTCAGTAGTACCAAGAAACTTGGCAAATCACTTTCGACACGTTCGATCAGTCATAGCACCTTCTCCATACACTGGTTTTTTGTGTGTTTCAGTGGCGTTTTTGCCTTTCTTGAAATAATAAACATATTATGCCCAAAATGTTGCGTATCCTCTTTGATCTTTAATATTAAAATGCCTGCACAAAAATTCAATTTTGAGAAGTTTTTTTTTTTAAATGCACACCGATAGGACAGCTGTCACCATACAATCTAACAAAATTGTTTCAAGTGAAGTTAAAGACAACTAAGCCCTACTTAGAGCCATCGTATGGAAAAACCTAACGGGCTTTTTGGCCAACCCACTGCTGTATATAAATCGCCTAGTAATTAGCCCCAGTCAGCTCACTGGAGCTGGGGCCTCTGGTATGAACCTCAGGTCCCCTCGAAGAAGCAGTGCGCTGACGCAGCCTCAGGAGAGCCAACTGTTGGCACCTCTCCCACTCACTCACGAATGGCAGATTGGGAGTTTGAAGTCAACCACAGTGGGACAGTATTTACACCATGGAAATTGGCAATTAGCAATGGCCACACATAGATCAGGACTCCTCCTGAACTCATCCTTCAGCGCCTCCACCCCTGCCTCAGGCAGCTGTTAGCTATTTACCAGCACACCGCTGCCTCCAATATTCTACTTTCTGGCCCCTCCTTTGTATTCATAAATGTGACCAACTTGCTTCTCTCCACACATCAGGATTGAGGGGAGACTCAGGCCTAGGAATTTTCAACAGGTAAGAAGAACATCACAGGGCACTGTTTTAAAGATTTTACCTGAACCAAGTAGACAGAATACACAACCCCGAAAAGTAAGAAAGAACCTACCCAGAACCTACTTTTAATAAATTGTGTTTCAGGGAGAATCTTCCAGCACTATCTAATCTTATCAGGGTTTGATTTAGTGTGGTAGTTAATATTGTGGCTTCATCAACCAGACTGCTGGGTTCAAACTCCACTTCTTTCACTTGTAACCCCCATGACCTTAAGCCAGTCACTCAGCGTCTCTGTTTCGTTTCCTCGTTCAGGGTGATGAATGCAGCCATGTCCACATCATATGATTATTGTGAAGATTAAATGAGTAAATGTGCGATGGCCTTAGGACACGTCAGGCACGCGGCACGTACTCATGTTCAGCTGTTCCTAGTCAATACCAATTCCCATGCCCAATACCGCGTGGGTGTAATCAGAGGGCTATCGTGGGTCACACGTTACAGATCCTGAACCCATCACATGCTCATCATTGACCTTTATTTCTGTCATTCTGAAAACAGTTTCAATCTATTTGAAGAAGGGTTACTAGGAATATAAAATATAAACATAATGGATAATTTCTCCCTTAAATTCCATGCTCAGTATTTGTAGTTAACGACCCCCTAGGCATTAGAGGTTTTTGAAGTAAGGAGCACAGCAAGGCACCTCATGCACCTAATGCCGACCTTCTGAGGTAGGTAAAATCATTACTTCCATGTTATAGGTGCGGAAAGCCAAGGCTCAAACGTGGACGAGAACTTGCCCAGAGGCCCAGCCAGAAGGTGGCTGGCTCCGGGCCCACACCATGGTCCCGGCTGCAGAGGGCCTAAAGGTCTCGGGGTGGCGGGCGGGGGCGGCGGAAGCTGTGGCCTGGGGTGAGTCCGGAGCCTGTCCTCTGGAGCCTGGGTTGCCTGTGGGCGCGCTACACTCCGCCTCGCCTGCAGAGTCCCCTGACGGTGAAGGAAGACTTGTTAACGCAGTGATCCAGGAACACGGGAGCAGGCTGGCTGCGCCTCCCTCCAGCTGCTGTGTAATTACCTGCCAGTTAGGGCCCCGAAGCCTCGGCAGCCCAAGGCGCTAGACTTAAAGGCTGCCTTGAGTAGGAGGGGAGAGCAGGTGGGAGTATTTGCTTTTGGAAAAAAACCTTGACATTGTTCCTGAGAATTGATAGAGCCCTTGAGGGGCCCCTTAGATGGGTGTGTTTTATGCCAACACCCATGGAATAACCGGCAGCTTTGAGTGATCCATATTGTGATTAGCTTCATATTTGAATTCAAAGCTGCTTCTCCTGGCAGGACTTGGTGCTTTGCTATTGCTGCCAAAATCTGTGGGGACTAATGCCAGCTGGTTGGGGGCTTTGGGTGTTGGTTTCAACACAGCAAATACTCTCTCAGCAGAGGTGCCTTTCAAAATGCCCCTGCATTGCGGATCTTTCGCATGCGCCCTCTGGAGTAGTGAGCCCCAGTGCCTGCCGGCTGTGTCTGCCTGGTCTGCTCTCCTAAGGGACGGGGCACAGGGGGCCATCTGGTGGGGGTTGGGAGGAAGCCGGTGCTGTGCTGCCTCAGGGCCATCTCTGCCCACAGTCACCCCGAGGTTCAGGGAGGGCCAGGCCACCTTCTGTGACCTTTGCTCAGGGCTCGCCAAATGTCCTTGGGCCTGGCAGCCGGCTGTGTCGGTGGCCTGTGGCTACAGGAGGTCCCCAGGCAGGATGCTTGGTGAACTGGACTGACCCATTCTTCATCCACCTGAGAGGCAGACACCTGTGCTTGAAATGAGCCGACTAGAGCACCGCAGCCATCAATCCCACAGTGTCTTAACTCCTCCACCGGCCCACCACCAAACCACCTTCCAAGTCATGTAGAAAGAATGAGAACAATGAATACCACCTGGCCTGCTAGGATGTGAAACCCCATTTGAAAAGGTTAAGAAAAATAAATAAACATTGAAAAAATTAAAAGCAGTCTGTAAAGCCCTCAAGTAACCTTCAAAGAAAGGCTGAAGGAAAAATGTCTATAACCACTTGTTCTAATTATTAGCCTCAAACGGAGCCAAGTGGAAACCACACCTGTGGCACGTGGGCTGTCAGGAATGGCGGGGAGGGGCGTGGCGGGGTAGCCTCTCCCGGAGCTCTGCCAGCCCTCACCCGCCCGAGAGCGCCCCCAGGGATAAGGCGCTGGGCGTGGTGTTCAGTTGTTGAGAGGTGGTTAACCCCAGGCATTAGCTCTGATAGGCCTTTTTGGTAGAAATGCCCTTGAGATTATTTTTAGAGGCCTGTCCATGCCCGTTTTCACTTTTCCTCCTTTGTCTTGATCCTTTTTCTTCTTAACGGCCCCTGTGTTTTTCCTCTTCTCAGTGTAATGCTCGCGCCAACTAACACTTCCTGGCATTGCTTAGCACTGCTGTTGATGCTGGGGGACAAAGTATCTTTCTTGTGCATCCTACTGCAGCCGTGTAGGGCAGGTGACCAGAACCAGGGGCCTCACAGGTACGTGAGGGTCTGGCAGTAGGGAGGTAGCAGCCAGAGAGTCTGGGATGAGTGTAAGAGGAGATTCCAGAATCTCGCTGAGGGAGTTGAGGGAGAGGAGTATCAACATGGTCAGAGAGGGTAGGCAAGTTGGAGTACGGGGAGTTGGGGTCCATGACGTGACGTGACGGGAATGTCCCAGACCAAGAAACCTTGGGCAGGCAGGTCCAGGCACTGGGCCTGCTGAGGCCTCAGTAGGAGGGGGCCAGGGCCAGGCTTTGGACAGCCTACCCTGAGGCCATAACGAGGGTCAGACATAGGGAGACTGAGTCTGATGGCAGAGTCTGGGTGAGTTCAGGCCTCCTCCAATCCCAGTTATTTGCAATCAATTTCTGAATTCTAGAAAATATTCTCCTTCCTCAGAATTGCAGATATTACTTCTCACCGTCATCTCATCAAATAATGGACAGTGTTCTTCTGAGTGTCAATAACCAACGGGATAAGATAGTGTAGAACTCAAATCTGCTTCTCCTTGTAATGGTAGGCTAATTCATTTGGGACATTTCCTGTTTTCTACATCTTCCCCAAGTAGGATGTCACTTAGGGCAGTCATATCGGGATAAGACTGTACTTATTTCCTCCAAAATAATTTTAGGTGGAGGGAGATGCTGGAATCTTATGTGTCTTCATAATTGTTAGTGACTACGGGGTATTTTTCTATTCATTCTAGAACCGTAAGATTTCATTGCTGAATGTAAATAACAAAGATCACCTAGTCCAAATACCTTGCTTTATTTTATTAGAAATGAAAACTGAGGATCAGAGAGGTAAAGGGACCCATCCAAGGTCACAAAGCTAATGATGGGAAGAGGCGGGAAAAGAGGGAGTCGCTGACCTCTAGCCCCATGCTCTCTCGGCAGTTCTTTAATGCTGTGACCGTTGAGTCACAGAAACAAAAGCTGAGAGACAGGTTCTCTTAGACAATTGTCTGACAGTGCCTCTCAGGTGATGGAAATCACACTGAACACTTCAAGAAACATGTAACAGCTATCTGTGCTTAAACACTTCCCCATTAAAGTACACAAATCCACCCATGCACACTCATACATACATATGCACAGACATGCACCCTGCCCTCTTTTCAGGGCCCCTTTTACACTGTCAGTGATTGCTTTACACAACCAACAACCGCAGGAACAAACTGCTACCATGTTCTGCTTCCTTTAAAACAATGCCGACTCCTGGAGTTAGGCCTACAGTCTGAGTAAATCTCTGTCTTCCCCGAAGGGTGATCTTGTGGCTCCCAGCCTCCTCAGTCAGGCCATCCGCCTACTGAGGCTGGAGGCTGGAGGTGGGGGCCGGGGTGCAGCGGAGCATAAGATTCCTGACTGAGCAATTCTTTGTCCCAGAGCTGAAAAGAGCCAGAGGAAGGTCCTTCTCCCCTCCCATTTTTTCCTTCATTGTAAGGAAGGAGCTCTGTGTATCAACAAATGGTATGTAATGCACATCAGTTTCTGTAATTACATAAACTTCTGTATTAGTTTTCTAGGGCTGCCATGACAAACTACCATACACTCAGTGGCTTAAAACAACAGAAACTTATTCTCTCATAGAGTCTGAAATCAAGGTGTCGGTGGGACGACGTCCCCTTTAAAGCCCTGGGAGAAGCTGTTCCGTGCCACTCCGCTCTCCCAGCTCCTTGTGGTCCCCAGCGATCCTTGGCGTCGCTGCCTTGTAACTGCATCTCTCCAATCTCGGCTTTGTCGTCTCACGGCCTCCTTCCCTCTGTGTGTGTCTCTGTTTCCAAATCGCTCTTTCCTTGTAAGGATGCCAGTCACCGATTATGCGGGCCGCCCTAATTCGGTATGAGCTCATCTTAACTCGATTCCATCGGCAAAGACCCTATGGCCAAATAAGGTTGCATTCACAGGGATGGGGGCTAGGACTTCAACATATCTTTTTGGGCGCACAGTTCAACCTGCAAGAAGTAGCGCCCACACCTCTCACTATTCCATTCTGTCAGTCACCACCCGCAAGCAGCACCTTACACGCGCATGCGCTCCAGCCTTGGTGCGCTCCTGGGCAGAGCCGAAGTGCACGGGGCCAGCGCGGTGCTGGCTGTCCCGAATGAGGAAACACTCTCCTAGATACCTGCTCACTCTCCTAGTCCACAGTGTTTTTGTACATGGTAGGCCTCCCACCCTATATTTTTTAAATGCATTCAATTTACATTCCCAACTTTGTTTTGCTACATACCTTACATCCTGACTCCAACAAGCTCTATAAGTAAAGTGTGTTTAGAGGGTTACTCGGCCATCAATAAAGACTTTTTTTAAAAAGCCAGAAGGTAACTTCATATAAATAGGACCCTGAGACCTTCTGAGATGATGCAAAGGGAGAGTGCAGATACCATGAAATAGTTCCCACCAGCTACTGGTTTTGAAAGAACGTGTTCATTCCTAAAAGGCGTCTCAATGTCGTCTTTGTTCCCTTTATCTTATCTGCATGATGAGGATTGGGTTGGGGCCATCACGTTGGGTAGTCCCTGAAATGGGGAATCTCCCTTCCCTTTCGGAGTGCCTGGATACCGTGCGCAGGGCACTTCCTCCTAATGTGAGATGCTAGCTTCGTGCAGAAGGGAGGTTTCCATAGGACACTTTCAGTTGATCGGTATTGGCTTCGTTGCAGGGGCATTTTGGCTTCACACACCAACATCCATTTCAGCGGCACCTGTCCCGAGGAAAGCCCAGCTGGAGGCCGCAGGATGCCACGCTGGGGCTGTCACTCGAAGAGCTCCAGGTAGTCGGGGGTCTGGTCCCGCTGGCCACAGGGGTACAGGAGGAGCTCCTTCCCCAGGGAGGTGATGGGTTCCTCCTGTGAAGCCGAAGGCAGCGGTCAGGCTGGGCCGGTTGTCAGGACAGTCTAAAAGGTGTTGCCGTGCCGTTTGCACCGCCTCAGAGGACAGACCTCTCTGCCTGCCCCTGATTTACACAAAGCTTTATGGTTTACGACAATTTAAAAAGAGATTTTCCTCATCTGCACACCGCCCTGTACTCTCTTTCCCTCCTGGGCTCCACTTCTAACTTAGGAGTGTGCCCAGATATGATCGGGGAGGCACACGGGTTTTAGCATCTCCTATGTTCTCTGCCCCAGTGGGTCTCCCTGAATATTTGGGGAGGAACTAGGTTCAATGATAAAGGAAATGCAATTAAGAATCCTGATTATAGGGAGGAATTATCAAAGACTAATTCCCCATTACTCACCTCAGTCATTTTCCTTGTAATTACCTTTCGTTGTTCGAGTTGCTGCAGAACAATAACTCACAGGGCAGAGTAGGTTTGTGTACCAGCTCACCTTGTGATACCCCACCAGGTCCGCCAGCGTGGCGTGCTGCAGCTGGTCCACGCCCAGGAAGCTGTAGGAGTCGGTGGAGGCATCAATGAGGAAATGCTTACAGCCATCCTCCGACAGGTAGGACAGGGCGTAGCCTTTGATCCTGTCACTGACTCGGACCAGAAAACTGCCTGGCTTGCACGTGCTCAGAAGTTCATTTGCTCTCTTTAGTGTGAGAATTCCTGGGGGCAAGAAAAGCAGATATTTCAGCCAAACCATTTCCAAAACTCTCCTCTGTTACCATAGCTGTGTGGATAAAGTTTAGTAAAAATAAGCATGCTTTTAAGTCCATTTTGGGCATCTAAGGACCACAGTAAAATGTCATTCATCTTTTGGAATTTGGAAGCTGGGCAGGGTAGGTGACATAAGCCAATGGGGGATACAAATAAGAGCATAAATGTTTAACAGGCAGGAGAACAAATTTCCACGTATACACCCAGTTGTAGCAACACAGGGCTTAGATGGCTTCTGAGTCTGGTAGGACTCTTGACAGTTACTTCAGGAGGGGGCTTGAAGATGCTCTCCTCAGTTTACTGATGAGGACTCTGTGTCCTGGGGAATGATCCTATGTGGTCTAGAACAATGGTTCTCAAGCAGGGCAATTTCTGGAAACTTTTGGGAGACAGTTTTGGTGGTTGTGGGCAGGGTGTGTGTGTGTGTGTGCTATTGGAACCCAGTATGCAGAGCCCAGGGATGCTGCTAAATACCACAGAGAGCACGGGAGAGCTTCACACTACGGAGTGTCAATAGTGCTGAGGCTGAGAAACCCTGGTCTATAAGTCAGCGAGTTAGCCACAGATCCAGGACATCGGGACAGACACAGGTCTACAAGGTGCCCGCCGCTGTAGCTGCTTCTAAATGATGCTTAGTGGCATAAAGGAATAACATATATTTATATATATGTTACTCCTGTGTGTGTGTGTGTGTGTGTGTGTGTGTATATATATATGTCTTCATAGATATTCAAAGGAATGAAACTTCATATATATGAAGAGAGAGATGGATACACACATGCTCAGGGACTGCACATATATGTGTGTGTATCTTCATATATGTATGTATATCTTCATTTATATATCTTCATATATATACATTTTCATATATGTAGTTTAGATGCCTCATGAATTCACACTAATTCAGACCAGACTTTCCCCCAATTATTTCAAACTCATTAGGTTTGGCTCATAGTCCAAATTTCCCTTCTTGTTCCTACTGTAATTCTTCAGATGAATCAGTAATGTTCAAACATATAGAAAGTACACAGACACATCCTGGGAAGAGGATGAAGCCGAATTATTCAGTGAGCTCTGAATTGGGAGGGAAGAGCAGCATTTTCCTAGTGCAGCGGTCCCCAACTTCTTGGGCACCAGGGGCCAGTTAGTGGAAGACCACATTCCCACGGACGGGGCGGGGTTGTAGGGGAGACGGGAGGCAGAGCTCAGGGAGTAACGTGAGCGAGCCTTGCTCACTTGCCCACCGCTCTCCTCCTGCTGTGCGGACTGGTACCCGTCGGTGGCCTGGGGGTTGGGGACCCCTGCCCTAGAGTTCTTTTCCACTTCAGCAGACAGAAGCTGTGGTCTCCTCACTCAGTATCTTATCATTAGGGGGAAAAAACACCTGCTGAAAAGGCAATGGGTTATCATAGCCCTATACTCTTGTTGTTGGTAAAGTTTATTGAGAATTGAACCCTAACTATCCATAGAAAAGCATAAAATAAAAACATTTCTATTTTCTTTTTTTTGTAAGTCGACCTTTCATAAAGGGAGGATTTAAAAAATCCCCTGTTGTTTCCCAGCCCAGGCCAACCAGCCAGCCCTTCTGGTTCCTTCTCCTCTGCCCTGTACCATTTGGGGACCCTGACCTCAAAGTGGCAGTTCATGGGGCTTGACCCCAGGGAGATGCGGAGGTAATAGCTGCAGGTGGTGAAAAGACGGGGCAGCCCCCTCCCCCACTGAGACGTCCCTGGAACAGAAGATCAAGGCCCCTTGCCTGAGGGCCCCGGCTCCAGCGCAGTCGTGCCTGCTGGGCTAGTGATGCCTGGGGCTGATCGCTGTCACATCTGGCCACCTCCCTGTCCTTTCTTGGATAAGACTGAGCTGCTGGGAACTTCAGGTACCAAAAATACTGAGTGAGCCTCTTGGTTCAGCTGCGCCACTGTCCATTTTAGGTGCTCAAATGATGCTGTCCAAGCTCGGACAGCATGATTTGATGCTGGCCTGCTGCTTCTGGTTGCCTGTTTTACCTTCCCAAACACGCCTGGCCCCACTGAGAAGCTGCGATGACTACCGCAAGCTGAAACAGGGCCTCAGGGATCCAGCCTGCCCAGGGACTATGCAGGGACGAGCTCTGAAGACTCTGGATCTGACTGTCTGTGAAAGCGGGGCCAGCCTTCCCTGACCCTGGAAGCCCCCATGAGTGAAGGGGAAGCAGCCCTGGAAAAAGATTCCTCTCCCCTCCCAGACTGACTGACAGGCTAAGACTCTGAAACCCCAAGTGACTTCCACAGATGGGGCAGATGTTGTAACTTATAACATCTGGATGTTATGCAGATGGAGTTGGAGCTCTAAAATGAAAGCTAGTCTGAAAAAGTATAAACAGACCTGGGTTAAGGTCACATTGCTCCTAAAATCAGGTCATACAGTAGCTGTAAATCAAACTGCTCAAAGCCTCTCCATCTGTAATTATTACCCGCTATGCACAGATCTTGGCACCCTCTAACCTGCAGGGACACCAGAACCCGATAAAATGGTTCTGTGATGAATTACAGGCCATCATGGAGACCCCTTGCACACAAGGGAGCTGATGGCAGGTTCGGAAGGTAAGCGCTGTTGAAACTAGGCTTTGTTCCTTTTGCTTTAAACAGGATTCTTATTCCTGAAAAGCGCAGTCCTTTGGCGCATCTGATGATGTGCAATTTGTCATGAGTCCGTCACGGGCAGCGGGTGCTCCCTGGAAAGCCTGGCTCGGGTCGCTGCCAAGCAGCGAGCCTTGTTTGCCCGCGGAGGGAGATCTTGAGCGCCAAACCAAACCCAGTGTCAGATATTAATCACAATGGACTCAAGCAATGTCCTCACAATGTTTTTCACGCCTGATCTGCCCACACATGACTAAGCATTCTGAAGCGCGGTCCTCACCCAGACACAAAGGCCGTGGCACCGCCAGCCCGCTACCTTCTGACCTGCTCTCTCCACGCAGCTTCCAGAAACCAAACCTATCTGAGGTCCTGGGAGGACTTCTGTGGTAGTGAGTAGGGGGTGATTTAAAAAAGCTTTTTTACTTCATCAGTTATTTTTACCCTTTCTTTATCCTCACCCAAGGATATGTCTGTTGACTTCAGAGGTGGGGGTGGGCGTGGGGAAAGAGAAACATCGATGTGAGAGAGAAATATAAATCAGCGGCGCCTCGACCGGGGATTGAACCCGCGACCTTTTGGTGTATGGGACGATGCTCTAACCAACCAAGCCACCTGCCCAGGGCTTACTTCATTAATTTTTGAAATGAACCAGATCTCCCAGCAACAGCCTATGTCAGAGCTGAATCCAGGCGGGACGTGGCAGAACTCGGCGTCCAAAACAGTGCAGGCATCCCGCACGAGGGTTTGCTGGGCAGCTGCTGGCTCTGAAGAGCCTGGGCAGAGCTGGGCTAAAACTCCTGCGGGCCCCGGCACCAGCTCGGAGGCTCGTACCAGCTGGGGCCCAGACAGAGCAGGGACCAACGCTCCGCTCTGCCCTCCGGGGGACGCCCAGGTACTGTTCACAGGATTTTCTGTGATGATGGCGTGTTCTCCGTGCAGCCCATGGGCATGTGGCCAGTGTGACTGGGCAACTTAACGTCTTATCTTATTTAATTTTAGTTCCTTTTGATATAAAGAGCTATATACGGCTAATGGCTGCCGTATTGGACAGCACAGCTCTAACCCCCTCCGGAGTGAAGGTGAGCTGCAGGCCCGGAAGAACAACAGTTTTTTTTGCACAGAGGAGGGTAAAGAGACCCAGAGAGACCTGAAATAGCTCAGAAACGCTGTGGCTTTGAAGTAAGTAAATAGATCAGGCCCTGAATACTGACTCTGCCACCACTAGTGGTAAAAGCCTGGAAAAGAACTTAACATCTTAGTTCCTAGGTTGCTATTCTGTAAAATAGGAATAAAAATTATCTCCTTTAAAGTATTCAGTATAATGCCTGGCACATATTAAGATCTCAAAAATTTAAACAGCTCCAACAGAATCTTCTGACAGACAATGAGAATTATTAACAGACTTCTGTGTTTCTGGATTCAAAATAATTATATAAAAACATAATTTCCTGCCATGACCAGTGTGGCTCAGTGGGTTGGGCATTGTTCTGCAAAGCAAAAGGTCACTGGTTTGATTCCCTGTCGGGGCACATGCCTGGGTTGTGGGTTTGGCCCCCAGTCAGGGTATGTACAAGAGACAATCAATCCATGTTTCTCTCCCTCTCATTCTCCCTCCCTGCCCATCTCTCTAAAAATAAATAATAAAATATTATTTAAAAACATAATTTCCTTATACCAACAACTACCAAGTATGAAATTTTAAAAAATCCTATTCAAAATAGAAATAATTATAAGTACAGAAGACTAATCTAGTTTGCTTTTTTTTTTTTAAGGTACATATCCTATATGGGGAATTTATTTAGTAATTCAAAATAAACAGAGTACTAAAAAAGTTTAAAAAATACCAACTACCAAGTTCGTCCACAAAGCCTTCTGCCAAAGCTGTTGGGGTTTCCACGTGTTCCCCATGTGGTTGCACAATGTAGTCGGCCGAGCTACGAATGTGCAGGGAGGTCCTTCCCATGGGGCCAGCGGAAGAGTGTCCAGGGAAGGAATGGGCACATGTGACCTGGAATTAGGTCCCTGATCTCCAACCCACTATGGGAAGCAGCCAAGAGGTGGCCAGCAAGTCTCCGCAAGTCATTCCATCTGGGTCACCACGCCAATCTGATCCACGTGAGAGGTAGAAATGTGCTTTGGCTCTAAGGAAAACTAAAAAGACGTGAAAAAGAACTTAAGATTCTTTTCAACGTGTTTTCCCACACGTCCACATAACCAGGGGAACCAAAAACCCCGTGAAAGTTGGGAACCGTGGTCTTGTTGAGAGAGAAGCAGATGTGGGGAGGCTTTGCTTATCTAGATTTGCTCGAGATCATGAAAAGATGCTCAGGAAGTAGAGTTCAGCACTTCCTTTCGGGATCTCTCTTGCACGTGACATTTTTCATGAAGCTCCTACATCTGGGAGTTCAGAGGCAGGACCTATGGCACCGATTACAAACAGACCTCACAGGGCCTGTGCGCACGGCGGGCTCTGTCCCGCTGTACACCCTGTGCTTCACTATGGCCCCAAGTGGGAAAGGAGACCTGAGACAGAGGTCTGGGCTCTCCGCCACTGCACCGAACATTGGGGCTCCCCGGTTTTTGTCCTGGGTCTTCTCAACTCACTCCTGGAAAATCTCATCCCCTCATGCTCTTAATTATGTGCCGGCCAGCCCCGATCTGTTATCTCTAATCTGGATCCATTAATCTGATCATCAAATGGGTATTTTCACAGGACTGTCCCAAAGACCTTTCAACTCCTTCCAAATGAGCTCTTTATCTTCCCTCTTCTCTTCTTTCCTTCCCAAGTTCCCTGTCCCCCGATGCTCCTCCTTTCAACTGACAGCAGGCCACCTCCCACCCAGCCCTGCAAGCCAGTGACCAGCACCTTCACTTCCCTCGTCCTCCCCCATCCAGGCCCATCCTCATTCAAGTCTGTTAAGAGAAAAGGGTGAAAGGATGGACTTCTGTGGGCGAAAAGTTAGGTGACCAAAGCAATAACTGAGAAGGCAAACAAATTTATGACATTGAAAGCAAGATGGTCAACCTGTACAGGACCCCCATCCCAGTATTTCAAAATGGGGTTCCTGATACATAAATAATTATACTTCCAAAAGATAAGATGTGATTTCTCTTTATCATAGAAATATGTGAAATTCATCTTCCTAAAACTGAAGACGGTGATTTATATTGACTACATGGCTGAGCATCTATTATATTGTTTTACTGTATATTATTTATTTTGCTTAGGCCTGTGATAAATATTTGCATAAATGAAAATAAATCAATAAGAAAGCAGTTAGTAAGTTTTTATATGTAAAACTCAAGGGTCTTATTTTTAAACCCAAGTTCCAGCTGGAACTTTAGTCTAACTGTCTCACCTTAGCTTTTGGCATCTGTTTCAAATTGAACTGCAAAGTATCAGGATTTTTAATAATGTCAAAGGACATTTTCCATTTCTCACTCCCTGCTGTTAAACTACCACTTTGTCCTCAGGGATGAGCGCATCTTCTGCCCAATGACACAGAGGTGACAAGGTGGCTGATTTCCTCAGTTCTTATCGTAAAAAGGAAAATTTAACAAAGGCAATGAGGAGACAAGCTACAATTGCCATGATGAACATGTCACTGACTGCATTCTCTTTGTCTTCTGACATCGTTGTCCCTCTTTCTTCCAGTGTCTTTAAGCAAAATGGGAAGGAAGGGTGTTTACCACCTGGTCCTAGGAAGGAGGGGACCTCCCCTGAAAGTGGACACTTACAGAAGCCTGAATGGCCAAAGAACAAGCATTTTCCAAGGCGACCAGACAGTTCTGCTGAAACGTTCTAACTGCAAAAGCAGCCGTAGCACAAAGCCTGCCACAAATAATCATGTTCTTTTTAGAAGAGTTGCCATGTTATATGACTGAGAGCTTATTCTGTAGATGTATTTTTGTGTGAGATGATATTACCTGAAAGAGAGAAGCCTTAAACATCATTCAAACCAAGATACCCATTAGGACAAGTGCACTCTGAGACAGATTTATTTTTATTTAAAGCACTTTCGTTGTACCTAGAGCCAATTAGTCCAATTTAACCACAGACTTAAGAAGCCAACTGAGGCAAAACAAAAAACAAAACAAGGAAAACCACTTCATTTTCTTGAAGTCCAAGAAACTGAGAGGTCAGTGAAATGCTGGGTCGATGAGGGCTTGAATCGATCAAATTTCTAGGGTCAAATAAAGAAACAAAGGGTCCAGCAGAAGTAACGCCTCCTTGAGCGTGGTTGGCAGGGTAATAATATGGGTGTAATAATTTATAGTATTAATTTGAACATTTCATCTAAAATGTCATATGGTGTGCTCGAGTGTGATATTGTTATGTTACAGAATTACATGCTTATGATTTTGTAAGTAAAAAAAGGCTCTATTTGTGCCGGACCCCGTAGTTTATTAGCTAATATCTGCCCAGGTTTTAGCAAACCCACCTTGCAGCCTTCAATATAGACTAGAAACAAAGATCAAAAGCACAGAATTGTTAAGTTAAAGATCACGAGTTCAACCCCTTCGCTTAACAGATGAGGAAAATGAGGCACGGGTAATTGATTTGCTGCTGAGAACGATGATGATTTGCTCAAGGTCACTCAACTCGATACTGGGCAGCGACTTTTCGATTGCTGCCCTGACGCCCTGACCACCATGCCCAACGGCCAGGTCTGACTCCCTCAGGGCAACGGGGGCAGGGGGCGGCGCAGTTTTATCGAAGTCACAATCAAGAGCCCTGGCACTGCTTTCCCCACTTCCCTGGTGGTGTTTATTTGTAGTGATACACTAACCCACCGTGCCTGCAGCGGCCGCGGCTGCCGACTGCTTTCTCTAAATGTGTCATGAGAATGGAGCTCACAGAGAAGTCTTTGAAAAACTAACTGCTTTGTGAAAATAACTTCAAAGACTCTTCTTGAGCAGCCCATATAAAAGGAAGCCTTTATTCTTTTTGCCTTCCTGGTGGATCAGCAGTGTATCCACCATCAGAAGAGGCTCCAGGGAAGGACCCTCTGCACTCACCGTGGAACCAGGGAGCGATGGTGTCGGCTGTTTTCTCGTAGCCTGCTCGCAGAGGCAGCTGCTCCTCCTTAAACCATCGGACGATGTCCTCCTGGGCGGAGCCAGATTCTGTCCTTGTCAATCCCTGATTTCTGTTATTTATAAGACCATTTATCAAGTTAGATTTAACTACTTTGAAAACAATGCCTTCAAAAATTATATATGCACAGAGTGGGGCAAAAGTAGGTTTATAGTTGTGAACATGTGAAACATAGTTTATTCTTGTATTGTTATTTATTATTGTATTATTTTCCATACTAACAACTGTAAAACAACTCTTGCCCCAGAGAGAGAGAGAGAGAGAGAAATGAGAATTATAAACATTCAAAGATCTAATTGCAGGGGGCAAGCTAATGGGAAGTTGGACACACACATTGCCACCATCCCTCAAGGGAAGGGAATAGGAAGGAACATAAATCTGTCACTTATCCATCCAGTCCTACAGGGCTAGTCTTGGAATTGAGCTGCCGCTCTGTTGATGTACAGATTTTATTTTATTTTTAGCATGAATTAGAAGCCCCATTAACTCCTGATTAAAACTTGAGAAAATAAGCATTAAAAAATGAAGTATACCCCCAGCACTATTTTCCTGGAGAGCATGTACTTGCAAACACAACAAATCAAATGCAACAAAATAAACTTCTTTCCTAACATTTTAGCTTCTTTCTCTATCCACTCACCTCCCTGACTTGGTTTCTTCTCTCCCACACTTTGAAGAAGTTTAGTTCTGTTAAAAGACAGTCTAAGAAATATAAAGTTAAAGAAAGAAGAGTGTTTTGAAATTGGCAAGAAAAAGATATAGGCAGCAGAGGCCTTTGGAAGTCAATTTAGTAGCAGAATTTAAGTTCTGGAGTGTAAATCAGTTTCCGTTACAAAAAGTACCATTGCAATGTAATAAACATATTTCCAAGTCCCACGCAAAAGCCCACTATTTTGAGCAGAGTTCAATGTAAAAACAATAATGAGTTTGGATGAGCTGCTGGAATGTCCTGTCATGAAATTAACATTATGACTCTTTGTACTTTTTATGGTAACATGTGCTACCATGAGTTACATATAACATATATGTCAGATGGACATGTATACATGTACATATGCATATAGATACATACATAGTATTTTGGAGAAAATAGCCTATCATATTTAACTTTCCTGGGGGCAGGCAGTACACACACATGAGATCACCTGGTAAGTTTTCTTACTAGTTTTCAAACCAGGCATTTTTTTTTCCTTGAGAAGTCTTTGGAGACCAAGAGAAAACTCCAAGGACAGCCAGTCTCTCTGTTTTCTGGGCTGGACCCCAGGTGACTTTGGTCCTCCCTGTTTAAAGCGCCAGCCTTAAGGCCAACCCGTCTGGCCGCCTCACATGAAGCACTTGATACAAGCATCTTAAGTTGAAAGAAGGAGCTAAATGAGCACAGCTTAAAACAAGAGTCGCCCTTAGTAAAAGGCCACCTTCCTTGCTGTCAATCACAGACGCTGAGCTCTAAAAATAGTGCGGTGAGGGCACAAGCTGCTCTCCCGCCCTTGGAAGAGCCTGGAGAACAAGAGCGGGCACACCGGCCCGCCAGGTCTGTCGCCGGTGCTCCCAGACAAGCCGGGTATGCGGTCGCAAAGCGGCAAGGGGACCTGCTTCCTGATTACCTTTCTTGTTTTGTCCATAAGAAAAAAGCCATTCCCCAAACTGTCACTTTGTAGAACATGGTCATTTTGTCCCAAAATGGAACCTTTCCACTGACTAAGTAGAAATAATCATAGCAGAGGAAAAGGTCCCCCTTCATGTTTCCTCTGAGGTCATGGCCCCTCAGGAAAAAACCTTGAAGGTCACTACTGTCCCCGGGCAGAAGGAGATTTTTGTTTGTCTTTATTGCTCCATTCTCCTAACAGAGAAATACAGTTAGTTTTTATTTCAGAAGGCAGGCCTTCACAGACAGCGCTGTCTCACCCAGTCAGCATTTCATTTCTCCTGGCCGTTATGTATCAGTCACCAGGGGAGACATTTTATAATTGCTTTCTGCCGTAATATTATGGTACTTTTTCTTTAGGAATTGTTTTGCCTAATTCGTCCACAACCTAGGAGGCAAAAGTACCATTGTCAACAATCAAAGTGTTCACTCAGAAAGGAACATTGCCAAATTTTCCACATGTGAGCACGCCTCCATATCCCAGAGTAAGAATTCCCATCAGACCTTTAATCCTGAGCGATGAAGACGTGGCTCTACCGACGGCCCGAAAGCCAGCAAGCCCGAAGGTTCCTACTTTGATAGTCTTTCACTACTCAGAGCCATACTGGGAATCAATGGAACCATAGTTGTCTCCTCTTGTCCCTTCCTTGGCTCACCTGCTGCCACCAGGTGGGGATGGGCTAGTGGTGCAGGAAGTTAGTGAACACGAGGTGCAAGTTCACTAAGTTACTAGGTGTATCTGTCACTGAGGTATACAGCTGTGGACATTCCGCAGATAAGAAGGGCACGGACGCCAGACCGGCCACCTCAGGAGGACGGGCTTATAAGAGAGGGCGACCTCAACTGCCCAGCCCGTCCTCCACTTCCCACAGCCCGGTATGCAATGCGTCCTACTCCTCTCACTCGACCCTCGCTCTTAGAGCCATCTGCGCGGCTTCTTACCTAAAAGGCTTTCGGGGGTATTCTGCTGGGTTTAGGAATTTAGGCTTGGGTGGAAGAGGGGGTCTCTTTGGTTTCTGTGGAACACTTGGGGGGCTCTGCAGTCCCTCGCTGCTTCTCGCTTTTTGGGATAACCTCTTGTAATCTTCACGCGCTTGTTTAGCCAGGGAGCGTCTCTTCTCATCGGCTGCTTTGGATTTTCTCACTAGAAAAACAACAGGTTTGAGACAGGCCCCCGGAGATGGTTAGAAGAATAAGCACCGCAGCTGGAGAACAGATTCTGGCATCTGCTGATAATAATGAACAATTGCTACCGATGCCTGTTATTAAGGTAATGAGGGCTTGCACATTCACAAGAGCCCAGTGCTCACTGCAGAATTCCTCTTTAGATGGGAGTCTGGGGACTTTCTGAGAAGGGGAGAGACGGAAGAGGAGGAGGAAGGGACAAGCTAGAAACGAAGAACCATTTGCTGGAGACTTTCCTGCGTTAACAAGACTAAGTGATGGGTCACAGCCTGAGTGAGGATTCCAGGTGGCGGGGGTGGGGGGTGGGTGCGGTCTTTGAATAGTAAGAGGTGATGATCGATCCTTCCCACCAAGAGGAGTTCAGGATGTCACCTGCCCTGAGTCAGGAGCAAAGATCAGGCTGTCAGGGACTTTTCAGGGGCTCAGGCTGTGCACAGGGTGACCAGGCAGTGAGGCTCCCATATCAGAGCCACGGTGAGCTGCACCCCTCTAAATCAGATGTCAGACCAAACAGTAAAGTTATTCTCACACTAGACAATCACAGAATGGGTCGGTACGCGTGACAGCACCCCAAGGCTGCCTCTTCATATGGCTTTGTAAATAGAGGGTTTACTGTTTTACTTTGCTTTTGTTTTAGCAACATAGTATTAAAGGACTCTAATGCAGGATGTAAGGATTATTTTTCTTGAGTGTATTTACACTTCAGGCATCATTAGTCAAATCCTGTTATGTGTGACTTCAAAGAGATGCCAAAGCTTTCCATTATGCTAGGATTTCACTGCAGAAAAGTGATTGGATCTTGTGAATATTTTCATTTCACAAAAATTGTCATTTTCATGGTGTTTCTTGTAATGGAACTAAAGATCAATTTCAGATTCTCAGCATCTTGCAAACACTGCCACTCCTCTCCTTCGAGGGCCTCAAGGGCTGATCTGGCAGCTGCGGCTTCTCTGTCTGACACAGATGGGAACCCTCATCCCATGTCAAACTCGAATTTGCCAAGCATCCTGGAGCACGCCCTGCTCTGCCCTCACACGCACTGACTTCTTCCCAAGGGGTTTCTCTCTGACGGTGCTGATTTAAAAAGGGTCAGGGCTGGACATAGGCATGGGACGGACGCTAAGACATCCAGCCTGTTATTTCTGCATCCTTCTGATTACAAAGTTAAGCTGTTGAAAATTTAAGAAATTACAGGACAACAACAAGAAGAACTCAAATAAGTAATCTTGAATCCCACCTCTTGCATATTAAAGTGTTAATAGTGTTCCAGTTCTTTCCTTTATATACTTAGACATTTGAAAAGAGATGATTTGCATACTATTTTATAGTGTTTTTCTCTTCTCCAAGCTAAAAAGATATAAACATAATTCCAAGGTCATACAATACTCTTTGGAAACATGTTGTTTTTTTAAAAAAATCGCTACATACCATTCTATCATACAAATACATCATAATTTTGATGGTACAAAGATGAATTGAGTATTGTTCTGCTATTGAACAAGTGGTTCTTAAGCCGTTTGGTAATAATTTAGTGTTAAAACACCTCCCAATGACCTCTTCAAGTGCTTTCTAGATTGGTCATTTCATTCTGTGAACCAATCAGCTTCGAGAGGCTTCTGGGTACTCACGAGATGCCTGCCACTCCGAATCCTCTTTCCAGCTCTTATAAATCTGCTTCGTTCTCTCTTCACCTAGTTGTTTTATTTCTTCGTCTGGTGCTTTCTTCGAGGATTCTTTCTTCTGTTTAAAAAACCACAGACAGACACTGGTGAGCGACGGTGGCCGTTTTCCTCGAGGAGGAGGGCTCTAGGCCCGCCTGCTCGCTCTTTGACTGCCCCCCGCCCCGCCGCGGCCCAGGGGGCGAAGGGGCGCTGCGGGGAGAGCGCGGGGCGCCCACAGCTGGGGCCCGCTCGGCGCCCCCGAACTGTATGAGCCCAAGGCTGGTCCCTGAACCTCTCTCAGGCTGCTCGCCCTAAGTCAAATGAGAAAATTAAGGATATTTCATAGGGTTATAATGAGGACTAAGTAATTTTTTAAAGTGCCTAGCACAGTGTGTAGTAAGAATGCAACAAATACTCATTCTTCTCAGACAGAGCACCTATCCGCTTCAAACTGTGTCCCCTAAGTGGTGTGAAAACACTGCTTCATGGGAGCAGCGGAAACACTGCCGTCCCTGACAGGTCCCCAGAATGAGGTGCACCCGCGGCAGCCTCAGCTGTGTCGCCACGTGCCCTTGAACCCTGCGTCAGAAAACGTGCTCCTTACAGATGGCTTTAAGGGGCCCCAAAAGGAATTCTTCTGTTTGAAAAAAAAATAAAAATATTTTTTCCAATAAGAAACACGGAAAATATAAAATAAGAAACACGAGTCTTCCTTTAAAAAGGCATTCAGGTTTTTTCAGTAGTAAAATGGATATAACATAAAATTTACCATCTTAATCATTTTCCAGTGTACAGCTCCATAGCATTAAGAACATTCAAGGGAATTAGCTTCTAACGAAAGGGAAACTAGCACGTTGGATCACTGAGACCTAAAACGTCCTTTGTTTATTTCGATACAGCCCTCTGAGTGCTCATGAGAACACCGAGTTTATAACTTGGTGAGCTAAGGGAAAGCCCCGGTTGGCCTAGGAATGAAGCCGGCTGGGAGGGCCAGGAAGGCTGGGCTCATTCTCCATCACAACAGTGACCTTTTTCCCCTTCTGTGTTTTCCTGTAGAAAGATAATGATTTTCTTGCTGTTAGACTATTTCATCAGAATTAAAATATAAACCCTGATGTTGTGAAACTTATTTTTAATTATTGTGGGAAGTTGGAAATCAGTTAATGTAAAAGGTGACAATTCATAAACTACACTTCAGATATAACTAACCCTCAGTTTATTTACTGTTTCCATTTTTTTTTTATACATTCTTTTCCTGCCTAGAAGTAAGTCCTCTTGGTTTGTCAATATTACAAGAATCGAAGAACAACTTTTGGTGTTTGAAATGAGTGCAAAAATTTGTTATCCCCTTATGGATATTCTTTACAAGCCTGAAATACAAATAAAATGCTACTAGCAATTTCTAAGCTTAATTAGGAAAAAAAACTTGACACATAAAAGCAGAGCTTTGCAGTCCATAATATTGTAATGACTGTGTATAGTGCCAGGTGGGTACTTCAAATACCTGAGGAACACTTTGTAAAGTATGATTGTATAACCACTATGCTGCTCACCTGAAACTAAAACAAAATAATACTGAATGTCAACTGTAATTGAAAAATAAACTTTTTAAAAAGTAAAGCTTTGTCTTCCACATGCATATTTTAAAATTATTTAAAATGACTAGAAAAACATATAAGTTATTAGACTAGGACATCATGGATATTATTGCTTAGAAAAAGTTTACAAAGTGAGTTTAACTAAGGAAAAATATTAAGTTAATAATATTGCAGATGATACTAGAATGTCTGAGAGTACTATACTTAGTAAATCATATTCATTTCTAATCTACAGTGTAATATGTATGGACGCAGTGGGAAAGCAGACAAAATTAATGAGTTTCACAGAGTAATTGCAGATGAGGTCTGGCCCTGACCACTGTATTAATTCAAAGCAGCCGGAAAACTTCAGAACTTGTCCTGAGTTTCTCTAAGGATTCCTTCAGAATCCTGTTCTTTCCATGATACTCAATACTTTTTCAACTCCAGATGAACAGGCAAAATAAAAATATACTTTTAGCAAATCTTCTCAAGCTGATCTTTACTTTCTCTATTTAAAAATTACCGCTTCCTCCAACATCCATGACAGTGCCTTGCACATGGGAGAAACTCAGTAAATCCTGGTTGAATGGGCACAGATCCTTTGTCTTTCTCACCTGTCCTCACTTATAATGATAAAATGTGTCCCGGGCAGCATTACTGAAAGTTTCCTTTAGACACCCTATTGCTGCTCTTTTAGAAAGAGGTACGTGTTAAACCTGCAGGACTACAGCTCCAACACTTCACCAGCATTTCCTGACGTCCCAAACATGTGAACCACTCAGGTTCATGTATGTCCTCGCAGAGAAATCAGGGGGTTGATCGTACTGTCCACAGGAACGCAGGCCCCGGAGCCCACCTCCACCACAGCCCCCGCCTCAGGCCTGCAGTCACTCGGACCCTTCCCTTATAGTTTCATTTCTGACCCTTTTTCAGACTCTCTGCTGGTCAAATCCTACTACAGTTTCCAAGTGCCAGCCTGTGCCTCATTGACTGTGAGCAGTGTGCGACGTGATGCCCAACGGAGGGAGCGGGCTCGGCCTGGGCAGAGGACCTCACGTCTGGCTGGATGTGAGAGAGGTCGGGGTGCTGGGAGAAGCTCTGACACAGTGGATGAGGGCGGTACAAGAGGCTGGTCACTGTAAGGGACAGGCTTTTAGAAGCAATGAACACATAAGGGACTTGGTCTGAATGCACTATTTCTGGCAAGTCAGCACCGCGTTTAGCACCCTCTGAAATCAGTCTTCCCCAGCATTTGCAATGGCCCAGGATACCGTCTCTGAGGCAGATCCTCAGTGAGGAGTCTAGCAGACGTGCCTTGGCACCTGTTCTTTCCATGATACTCAATACTTTTTCAACTCCAGATGAACAGGCAAAGAGGAACAGCTATGTTCACAGGATTTCAGAGACAGATTTCACCTTCTACTGCTTAATTTCACTGCTGAAAGAAACTAATATACCGATTTGTGAAACAATAGTGGAAATGGCTACGCATTTAGCCCCCGAAAGAAAAAATCTTTTACCTGGTGAAATCCATATGCCTTCATACGATTGATAGAATCTGCCAACATTTGTTGAATATTTCTTGAGGAACTGGAGGGTGACTAAAAATTAAATGAAACACATTTTATATCATTTAGAGCTGTAATGCTGTTTCATAAAATAATCTGTTAATGTTTCCCTCCTTTCAACATTTTCAACATTCCCTAATGCTGGCCCCGCCCTCACAACTGGGTCTCCAAATCTCCCACCAGCCCCTGAGCTCCTGAGCCGAACCCGACAGGGGCAGCAGGGGCATGAAGCCTCAGCCGCGCCACTCCAAGAGCCAGGAGCTGGTGGTTTGCTCACGACAGGCATGTTTGTGTGTCTTGCTCCCAGCAGGCCGCGGTGCCCCTGAGATGACTTCTAGATGTAACATTATGTCTTAATCTAAATTCTCTGCTTCCTGTCTGAATCCCTGCTCTACCCATGCCCTGTTGTAGGTCAGACCGGAGAAGTGCTTAGGCGCTGCCGTTTAGCTGCGTGCGCCCTGCTCCCCACCTCGGGCTGGACACATGCCTGGGGCCTGGGCGCCCTGCCCACTTTCCCTGCCTGATCGCATTCCTCCCCTCTCCTTCCTCTGACCCCGTTACCCAGCCCAGTATCTGGGTTTCTGCTACTCTAGATGGATTTCCCAAGAGGCTCCTCCTGCTAGTGGGGTTCCCAGATGCACTGCCTGGATTGCCCAGGGTTATTTCTGCCAGCCATGTGCCAACTGCTCTGGCTTTGTGACCGAGCTGGTATATCACACCAGGAGCCTCTTAAAACCAGGTCAGTTACACAGGCCCTGGTCACCCTGTCCCTGGCTTGAGCACAGGATCTGGGCCAAGTCCCAGCATGGACCGCATAGCCTGATATAGTCACCCACCATCCATATTACCATGACTTTGTGCTTGTGCCTGAAGACTCATCCCTGAAATCTAGCAAAGATCAGAAATTGTCTGCATATTTTCAGCAAAAGGTTGGTATTGAGATTTAGCATGGAGCACAGCGGGTAGGTGCTTCAGGGTACTTACTATGTGATGTGATAAACCAGTATGGCTACCTCAGTTTTGCCTCTTTTTCCACGGTAACTGGGCGTGTGTGCTTCGGCCCAGGTAGTTAGGCGCGTGCCCATGTGACTACTTTCTATCCAATATAATGCAGGTGGTAACTGGTATTTGCCACTCCTGTCTGGGTCCTAAAACCTCTCTCATGCAGCATCCAGGCCACTTCCCCTTCCTGGCATCGCGATGGCAGTCGTGCTAGTGCTAAAGACAGCAGAGCCACCAAAAGCCCGAGTGCCTGCAGGACTGAGCCCTCCTGCACCAGACCCCGATCCTGGGTGTTGTAAGGGAAACAGATGAACTTCTATTGTGTTTTAACCATTGCCTTCCTGGTCCCTGTGCTACAAAAGTTTAGTCCGTCTTGGCTGATAGAACTGGCTGCCGCAATTGCTGGCGGCACACTCATCGAGCTCTCCAGAGTTTCTGCTAGTCACGGGCAGTGTTGTTAAGACTATTTCCGTGCACGGCTTCCGTGCGCTGGAGGCGTGCTATGACCAGGCACTGCATCCGCAAGTGTTATTTTTACCTCTGGCAACGTCTCTGGTGGATGGGCAGCACGGTGCCCGATCTACAGATGGAGAAAGTGAGTATCAGAGGCCCGCGCAGCTTACTGGGATCACACGGCTGGCGGGTGCCATGGTGTGTGCCTTTTCTACTATGTCAACATTGCGATGACAGGAAAATAAAGTTGCAGGTCAGAGATTTCTTATGCTTATTACTTGGCAAAGTAATGAATCCTATAGGTTTCACAATTGCTTCCTACATACTCTGTCTCATATTTTTCTTATTTTAGCGTTATAGTAACATACAGAGCTGCTCTGCATCCACAACAGAAGGAGACAGTAACCAGTTCCTCTCTTTACGAACAGGTTAGAACTGCTCCACCAGGTTTTGTTTCAGTCTGTTCAAAAGTCCAAGATAACTTTGAAGGGCTCCTTCTTGCAGTCTCTGAATACATTTCCCACTCCAAAGAATGTGAGCTTTAAAAGGCTCTCTCCCTTCCCTCAGTGATACAAGGTCTGTGGGGCGTCATCATTTTGCAAAAAGGATCCATTTCTTCTTTGTTGAAAATTAGGAGGCAGGTGACTTCCTCAGGCACTGTAAACAGGCCCCCCAGGTTGGCTGCGCTCCGAGCCTCTCTACTCATTCGCTTCAGAAGGACCCGGACCTGTGCCCCCAGCAGAGCTGCGGATGAGGTCCTGTCAGCTGCAACTCGACTGCGCTCAGCCTTCACGCTGATGAGCAAACTAGACTGTTGTTTCCTGAATTAGCATCAGGCTGAGAGGCATCCAGCACTGCTCTCCTACCCACATATTCCCAAGTGATATCTGTTTCACCAAATATCTCTTCTCCCATCACTGGCCTAATACTGTCATCTGTGTGGGCACAGCACTGTCTCAGTTATTCTTTGTCCCTTAGATTTATTCCTTCTGTACACACACATACAGCATTGTTTCCTCACCACTTGCTTTGTTGTCGTTGTTAATTTTTCTTTCATCATAATATTCCTTTTCTTACTAGCCCTTTCAATATACTCACCACTTTTGCACCTGTCAGATATGATGGGCTATAAATATTCTTAAAATAACTCAAAGCTAAGTAAGGCACATGAAGCAGACAATAAAAAGGACATGGTGCTGGTGACTAAAGGGACCACTGTGACTGTCAGCACCATCTACTGGTGCCAAGAAGGGTTGGCATCCTTTCTTTGAAGTATTAGGTTTGCATTTTAGTTACTAAAGCTGGTTCTTATAGGAGAGTTTTAGCCTAAATAATTGATTAGTTTAACAACCAACCCGGAGATCAGTACTTCTATTCAAGAATTTTCATATGGCTAAAACATATTGTAAACTCTAAAACTATTCACACATGCTAAGAGCCACATTTATAAAAATACTAATTTTCAAGGTGAAAGAAGATTTGCCATCATTCCAAAGTGTTAAAATAATATGAAGAACTTAATCAAGGCTTGTGTAGAGAAGGTCCATTCACGTAAACATGTAAGCTCTACAAATCCATGGATACACTAAGTACAGTGGAATAGGCTGAAAATAGTGTGACTGGGCCATTATCTAAGGCTCTGCCCCATGCAATTTGCAGGTAACTTTTTACAGGGAGTCAAAGCAGCTCTACCTGATACACAGAGACAAACACAGGGAAGCAGCCAAATTGAGGAGACAAAGAAATATGGCCCAAATGAGAGAACAGAACAAAACCCCAGAAAAAGAACTAAATGAAACAGCGATAACCAACCTATCAGATGCAGAGTTCAAAACACTGGTGATCAGGATGTTCAAACAACTCACTGAGTATGGCAAAGACATAAGGGAAGAAATAAGGTTACATTGAGTGAAATAAAGAGAAGTCTATAGGGAATCAAGAGTGGAGAGGATGAAGCCGAGAATGAAACCAATGATTTGAAACACAAGGAAGGAAAAAGCATTCAATCAGAACAACAGGAAGAAAAAAGAATTTTAAAAAATGAGGATAGGCCTAGGAATCTCTAGGACTACTTTAAACATACCAACATCTGAATCATAGGGGTACCAGAAGGAGAAGAGGAAGAGCAAGAAATCAAAAAATTATTTGAAAAAGTATGAAAGAAAACTCCCCTAATTTGGTGAAAGAAATAGACATTAAGTCCAGGAAGCACAGAGAGTCCCAAACAAGTTGGACCCAAAGAGGACCATACCAAAACACATCATAATTAAAATGCCAAAGGTTAAAGATAAAGAGAGAATCTTAAAAGCAGCAAGAGAAAAAGCGGAGAGTTGCCTACAAAGGAGTACCCACAGGACTGTCAGCTGATTTCTCAAAAGAAAATTTGCAGGCAAGAAGAGACTGTCAAGAAGCATTCAGAGTGATGAAAAGCAAGGACCTTCAACCTAGATTACACTATCCAGCAAAACTATCATTTAGAATTGAAGGGCAGATGAAGTGCTTCCCAGACAAGGTAAAGCTAAAGGAGTTCATCATCACCAAGCTAATATTACATGAAATGTTAAAGAGACTTATTTAAGAAAAAGAAGAAGATCAAAACTATGAACATAATTAAAATGGCAACAAATTTTCAACTATCAGCAACTGAATCTAAAAAAACTAAGCAAAGAATAGGAACGGAATCATAGTTACAGACATCATTTGGAGGATTACCAGCTAGGAGAAGGTAGAGGGAGAATGGGGGAAAAGGTGCAGGGATTAAGAAGCATAATTGGTGGGTACAAAATAGACAGGGGGATGTCACGCACAGTATAGGAAATGGAGAAACCAAAGAACTTACATGCATGACCCATGGACATGAACTAAGTGGGGGAGATGCTGGAGGGAACAGGGGTACCCGGCAAAGGCTAGCAAAGGGGGAAAAATTGGGACAACTGTAATAGCATAATCAATGAAATATATTTAAAAAAAGAAAATAATATGATACAAAAGAGATTTCCTTTATTAAAAAACAGCCATATTAGTGGCTCAAAAGTGATCACTTATGACTATAATACCAAAGGGAGACAGCCTCAGAAATATTGTTGCCTTCCTGAGCATTCCTGGAGAGGGGGGCTGAAGAGGCCTCTTGGAGAGGGTACCATGCCGTCTCTGAAGCTTCCACGTGATGCTGTGTTCTAGGGAATATGCTCTTTAGTTACTGCTGTTTGGAACCCAAGAAAGGGAGGAGAAGTACCCGTGCACTTATATCATTTTTGCTGACAAAGTACTTTCATGTCCAACATGTCATTTGATCTTCACATCAGCCCCAGAAAGGGTGTCAAAAAGGTAAGCTGACTTACTAATAGGTAGAAAAGCAGAGACTAAACCCCATGTCCTCTCCGTGTCTCAGCTTGCTCGTTCTGCAGGGTGTCCCAGAGAGAACACGTCTGCTCTCATGCACGCAAACCTCTGCTGTCGCCGCCCACCGGCTGCCCTCCTCTGCTGCTGAAACTCTACAGGCAGAGTTAAAGCCGTCTTACCTGCCTCATATTTGCTTTATTTAAAAATAACACCTGTATTGCTGCAATGAACATAGG